TACTCCGGTGGGACGACTGCTCGACACGAACAGTGAGAGTTAAGGCGCAGGACCGACGGCTTTACGTGCTCTCCGAGGCACGGGGATTAAACACCGCCAACTTCCCAACTCCGGGCTGTTACTGAGACATATATTATAGTAATATACAGAAAGACTCAGTAACTAAACTTGGCCCGACCCGGGACTCGAACCCAGGACCTCCGAGTGTGTAGCCGTACATGCTAGCCACTACACCACCGAGGCAGTTAAAACCGTTTATCCCGGATAACCAGCTATCATCATACCAAATTTCATCAAAATCTGTCCAGTGGTTTTCTCGACAACAGACAGACAAAAATTCTAAAAACTATAGATTTTGCCTCTGTATTATTTTATTTCAATGAGATTTTTCAAAAAAAAGATTAATGTACAGATTCGATTCTGAATTTTATTATTTGTATAGAAAAAAACCAAACTGGTAATGTAATTTTATCAGTTCATGCTACAAATAAGTTAGAAATGAAAAGTATAACTTGCACCATTCTAATTTAAAAGTGGTCATAAAAACTGCCATCATCTTTCCTGAAATCTACATAGCCTTTTAAGCCGCGATTGGCGTTAGCCCAAAACAAGGATATAGAAAACAAAGAGAAAGTTTTAATAATTATACCTATTCGTTCTTGTTACAAAACCAACGTCTTTAGTTTGTCCGTCTGTCCTAAATTTGAGGGACTGTTTATTTTGAACCGTAATATGGAGCCGGTACAAATTTTCTACTGAACTGTGTTGCCATGGCGGATATTGTAACAAAAGAAAAATATTCAAATTCAAAAATTTGCAAATTAGTAAATACTTTAAAATTTAACCTACCTACCCCTAATAGATTTCTCGTGAAAAGATTTTTTATTTAAATTTAAAATATGAAAGATATTACGTCAGATACTGCAATTTCGCCAATTAATTTTTGGCTATTCGATGGGCTCTTTTTGTTTTCTTAAATAAGCCATAGATGACATATCCTTTAATGTAGCAAAAAAAAACAGTCATGAGGACTGCCGACAGAAGTGAAAACTTAAAACTATAAACAAACAGTTGTTATTTTTGGATATTGAAATTAATTGTTTGATCTTAAATTAAAATGTGTAAAATAAAACTGTTTACATTTATCTGGTTTCGACATCTATCGGCACTCTGAGTGTTAGCGTTAATACGTCACGTGACCATGTCGATGACGACTTACATGAATTTACTCCCCATCCAAACCCGCGTATAGGAGTTTTCACTTAAAAAAATCCAAATATGTATCGTTTTATAAAATGTACACTCATATCCAGAATCGAGAGGTCCACGGAAGCAATTTGGCAATGTGCTAAATAGGACAGCGGTCCATTCGCCAGAGGACGTCTTATCTACACGAATTGGCTCGCTACTGCCTTCATTCATGATACATTTGCAAATGCTAGCCGAAAAATATAGCTCGTGTAAATAATGCTGTTTGAAATATTTAGATGTTTTACGTTATTGTTATAGTCTAAGATCCTGATGTATGATCGTCTTTCATACATCAGCTTACCTACATATTTATGAAGTGTTTTAAACAATTTACAATTAGATAGCTATATTGCAGATGGGTTGCATGGGTCAAAATGGAATTCATCTGTATCTTTTGGGAAAATTTTACCCTTTTTTAATGATTTGCGTCGTAATAAACACAAAGTCTTACTTAGGATAGATATTTCTTTTAAGAAGTTGATCGATCGGAATTTGTAATTATAGTGGTGTATCTTTAATGCCAAATTCTGATGCGAGCTAACTCAAAATAATGAAGGTTTTTACTGAGTTTGTATTTTAATAAAGTACGAGTTGGTCCCTCCCTATACACCTACCTATATTTATATGAAAAAATAGCTTAAACATTTATTAGTAGCCATTCGAAGAGTTCCACTATCACTCTTCTGGCTCCATCATCAGATCAACTCGATGGAATCGACTTCAAACTTTTGAGTATATAGTTACAAGTGGAACTATTAAGCATTAAAACAATAATAATTAATCTCAAAATGATTGAAGAGTAATAGGAATATATATAAGCAGATAAGTTTGCTTGAATACGCTAAATTAGGAATTCCAGTTAAAATATTAAAAAACTTTTTACATCCTACATGACCGATTTCGGCCACGGCGGCTTTTCATTGAGACTAGCCAATTGCACAGAACACATTATTGCCTATAGTGCAGCGCGTATGTCGGTGTAATGTGTACGCGCAGACACAAGTGCATTCTCTATTCCTGTCACTCTCATACTCCGGTGGGACGACACGAGACAATACCAGTGAGAGATCAGGTGCATAAGTAATACTCGATAACTGAATTTGGCTCGACCCGGGACTCGAACTTAAGACCTCTGATCTTCGACCGTAAATACTAGCCACTAGACCACCGGGGCAGTTATTCCTATTTACATTTATGTACAATAACGCTATAACTCTTAGAAAGGAGTGTTTAAATAAAACAATATATTCTTTAATATATATAATTACATAAAACCTAATTATAATAATTAAAAATAACCAAGGCACATCCACATTATGATTTCTTAATCAGTCAATTCAATTAAATTCTTTCTTATTTGGCTTTTGACGTGCCATCTGGGCACAGATTAATAAAATGTATACAAACAAATAATTTGACACTTTCAAAGACAGTTACAAAAATACTTTTATAACCCCTTTGCATATTATATAAATGCAAGAACACTTAACACTTATTTTAATTTATTTCATTCATAGATCAATAAAGTACTAGATACACAATCAGCAACAAAAAAGTGTCCTCACCGAAAGAGCACTCATTTGAACATTTGAGCGCGCTTTTAATTAAATTTTATTAGTGAAAACAACATTAAGCTTTGCATTTAAGATTCAATTTACATTGTTGTATATTTATTTCAACTAGACTAATTACCTAAACACAATTTTAAAGAGAACTTTTGCATGGGATCATGTTTCTAGTATTTTTTTGATCAATGGTTTCAGCTAAAAATTATATATTAGCATTATTGCTCTATTGAATTGTACAAACATTATTCAAACACAATATTACAAGGCCGAGTTAAAATAAATACATATATTACTTTACAAAATCGATACAAAGAGGTTCATTAAATTAACCAACTTTAAAAAAAGATGTATTTTTATACCTTTTCATTATAATTATCGTATGTTTTGTTATCATGTCATACTAGGCGCATGTCATATTCGCTATTCTAAGAACAAAAACAGTAATATTCATAATAAAAATAAACACAAAAAGACGAATAACTAATAATTAACATTGTTTGTAGCTATAGATAGAAAATTTCACTTAAAACCGTTGAAGTAGTGTAAAGAAGTATAAAACAAACTTACTCAATTACTTTTGATATTATATTCGATTCTAAACAAATTTATGATTTCTCCCTCCATTTGAAATTTTCGAGACAATATTTTTACAATGTGAACGATCCTGATGATTTTAGTTAAGACGTTATACAACTAAAATTTTAAGCCATTAAATGTAGAATGACTTTCTTAACTGACAATTAAAAAAAGAGGTACTCAATTCAAGTGTTTTCGTGTATATATCAAGATATATATATATATATATATATATATATATATATATATATATATATATATAAGCCAATTAATTATGAACCGCATATCATAGTTCAAGATAATATCCAAGAAATAAAATCTGCCTATTTCGGTAGAATAATTAATTTTTATGTTTGTAGAAAGATTGTACTGATAATACATTTTAAGACTAAAGCCGACTAAAGTGACTAAGAAAAGCGGTAATACACTAAAAACTTAAGACAGCGTCAAACCTATACTCGGAATTATAATTCGATTCCACATTTGACATTAGCTACTGTCATTTTGTAAAATAATGATACCACATATAATAGTGTAGTGATGAACACAAAAATCGATAAACAATCGCGATTGATGTTTATGTAATCATAATATTGGTGTGCCAATTAAAGACTAAATTATTGATTTTTATTTAAATAAATACATAATTATTCATAATAATTATTTATTAATTAGTAACCACTGCTTTATTTTATAAAAAGTTAATATTTTTGTTTTTTATATTAAAAACAAAACTTATAATAAAAGAGTCTAGATAGATAGTTTTCTGTATTGGCAACCCGTGCAAAAGAAAACTCTCAGATCCTTAATAAAATTAATCGTCATAACTAAATTATCCGTTCAGAAATATTTAATTTCCTGATATACTTAGTTTCTATTAAAGTAGTAGTTGTTTAGATATACTACTATAAACGAGAGGAATCGATCCGGAAATATTCCATTTCTGTATCGAATAATTTCGCAACGTCACTATTTAGTACTTGTCATAACGTCGCAACACTGAAATTGTCAAATCTGGAATCGAATTAAAATTCCGAGTATACATGATTTTTTACATTAAAGAAGAATATTTTTTATCTATTTCTGATATAATTTATGAGTTTTAGTGATACGAAACAAGGGGTGTAATTTTAAATAAAACTATATTTTCGATTTTTTTCGCAGATTTATTTAAATTTTATGTTCCCGACGTTTCGAATGCTTTACAGCAATCATGGGATCACGGGAGAGACTAAAATTTTAGACGTCTCAAAGGCATTATTACAGAGAGCACCTACAAACAAAACGTTCTGTTATTTTGTGGGTAGGGGCTGTAAAGCATTCGAAACGTCTGGAACCAAAAATCAAAATAAATCCGCGAAAAAATCCGAAAAGATAGTTTTATTTAAAATGTTAATTCGCGTAAACCTAAAAAAGTATTAAGTGCTTGTCATTTAGTTTCCATAAAAACCTTCTTGGAGTAAAATTTCATACTTTCGCCCATCAATATTAACCTATCCCAATATTCATACACAAAATCGAATAACATATAACATTGTAATTTTAATACTAGTCTTAAGAAAAAAAAAACAAATGCACAAAAAAGCAAACATACACTACAACTCATGTTAACTCTTCAACTGGCACACTCTTCCTTCTCGATCTTCTAGGAGTTTGGACAAATTCTTCTCCATTAACTTCTTGTAACTTCTTTCTCGTTCTTTTTTCTTCTAGATCTCCTTTCGGTGTTTGCATACTTTTACGTCTGCTTCTGGTCATTATTGGGGCTCTATCCTCAAAAGCATTTTGATGGACCAGTTTAAGTTTCCTTCTAGATATATTCTCCTTTTCTTCTGTGTCCATAAAAGGTAAGTCACAGTCTGCGTTCACGTCATTATGACTATCTTCTGTATTTAACTTCTTATAATCATCTTTGTCTAATGTGTCTTGGATTTCTTGATCCGAAGCATTGAAGAGTACAACCTTAATGGATTTTTTCGAAGAATTCGCGTTAGACTTGAGAATGCTACGAGCAGGCGTAGCACCCAAATTCACCGGAGTTAATGGCAGTGAATCCTGTTAAAACAAAGGTATTAAATACAATAAAACAATATTATATGAATATCATTGAAACAGAGCACATACCTCTCAAAATATGTTCATAAACAAAAAAGGAAAATATTTTTATATTAAAAATCCTTATTACTTATTTATTTAAAAAAATATCATATTATTTCTTATTTATTATATAAAGCCAGCATGATTAAAGCGAATGAAATTTCATGTAATAACAAGCGCCATCTACTGCATAAATTGATATATAAAAACATAGATACACATTTCCTTACGAATATCTCTCCAAAAAGTGGCGTCCACGTGTAACGTTAAATTAAACCAAAAAAATATATTTAAAAATCAAAAGTCCTAATTGCCGAAACACAAAGTCGACCTTACGCACACCACATAAAGTACTTTTTTAAACGAAACAACGTGCGTTTTAATTTTGTCATCTGAAAAGCAATGAACAAAGAGATTTGAAAAAAGCGCATAATTTTGAATTGTGCACTTCTTTTTGAAGACACTTTTAATAGTCTAATTGTGTATCTTGAGTTTTTGTATATCAATGACTGTATATGAGTAACATATGAATATGAATGTGAGTGAAATGTGAATGTGTGGGTAAGAACAATAAATGACTACAAACAAACATTGTGTTTTATTACTTTTAAATGTTGTTCAAATTATAAAAATCAAATCAAAATATACTATATTCAAATAGACTTTTACAAGCAATTTTGAATCGTCAATTTTACATTATAAATATAAATTAAAAGTATGTATGCCCGTGAGGAATCTACCACCGGCTCGGAAGGCAGTTCTGCTAAGAAGAGCTCAAGAGAAACTCAACAGTTGCTCTATTTAAATGCAATAATAATTGTTTCGGACGACCAGAACCAGGGTATGTCTAGTACCCGGAGGTCGACCTGGGACAATCTCCCAGACGTTCTTGGCGTACAATGCAGTATGTCCGTTCGCTGGTAATGTACGCCACCACGCACCCCTGAATGCGTAGCTTGGGTCCCGATCCACTAGGGTTTCTTCGTTGACAGGAGACTATACTTAGAGGCGATGAAATAAAAACACAATTTTTCCTTTTTTCTCTCTTGGTTTCGGTTCTTCCTTTTCCTTTTAGTTGTTGCCTCTTCGGTGACTGTCTTGCGACTGACTCGAATCGAGAAATGGCTCGCCTTTTATTTGGCCCGTTAATACCTTACAGAGAGCCGCGTACTTTGAGCTCATTTTTCGAGTAAAATTTCCCTAAACCGAAACCTTGAGAGTCCTTTTATTTTATGTTTTCAGTAAAACACCTTACACATATTTATTTATTTACATGCCTTACATACTATTATACAATATTAAAACATAATATTCAATATATAATAATTAATTAAAAAAGTCTTAAAACAAAAATATCTAAATTTCTAGGTTGCTACATTTTTACTATACATTTTCCCTTATAACTTTTGAACGGATAGTCCTATCGACCTAATTCTTGTTTTATTATAAGTTTTATAATAAAATCTATTATTTAAAACATAAACTATTATGCTATTGCAAGAAACAAAAAATCTCATTTTCAAGTTACGTAATTATATGCTAACATTTTACTTACGTACCTATTCCTTTCAAATTAATGTTAAATAGTCTTATATGATTCAAATAAGCAAAAAATACTCTAAACTAACCTTATTACACTAATTAGAACTTATTTTAACATAATAAATCTAATAAGAATGAGATTTCATATTTACAACAATTATTCATAATACGCTAAAATGACATTGTCCCTATATTAATACACACGTTACTCGAAGATAGGTTTTCCGTCGCCGACATTCTCCCCCTCGTGCTTTGCACCAACTCCTGGACTCGGCGACGCTCCCGGCACCAACAGCACCACTCTCGAACTGGGCCTCCGTAGAACACCTCCTCTGGTCTCGACGTCGACGACTCTGGTCCGCCCGTCTGCGCGTCCGCGTGGCCAGATGCATCTTGGTAGGCTGTGATCGACGATCAGTACGATGTCTCCGACTTGCAAATCTGTGGCGCTGACTCTTCCTTTGGTCTTCCTTGGTAGTAGAGTGGGCAAATACTCTCTCAGCCAACGTTGCCAGAAGTGATCGGCAAGTCGCTGCGTAGCCTTCCAGGTGTGTCTGCCCACAAGCTCGTTGTCCTCGAAGCTGCCGATTCTTGCTGCGCCACATGATCGCCCGATGAGAAAGTGGTTCGGTGTAAGTGCTTCTTCTTCAGGGTTCTCGGAGAGGTGGGTGAGGGGCCGAGAGTTGACTATGTGCTCGGCCGCTAACAGGAGGGTATGAAGTACCTCCTCTCGTGGTTGCCTTTCGTTGAGCGTGGCGTCCAGTGCGGTTTTAATGGATCGCACCAGACGCTCCCATGCACCTCCCATGTTTGGTGCACCAGGAGGTATGAACTTCCACTGCACGCCGATCTTCTCCGCTTCCGAGATAAGGTCTTCTTGCTTCATGGTGTCTAGTGCTTCTTTGAGTTCTTTGTTGGCGCCAACGAAGTTAGTGCCATTGTCGGTGTAGATTATCTTTGGCATTCCCCTTCTCGCGGCGAATCGTCGTAGTGCCATGATCATGCTGTTAGTGGAGAGTGAAGGAGTGAGCTCAATGTGTACAGCTCGTGTTGTTAAGCATGTGAATAGAGCACCCCATCTCTTCTCATGGCGTCTTGCTACGGTGATCGTCATAGGGCCGAAGTAATCTATTCCCGTGCACGTAAATGGAGGGTTTCCGTGCATCAGCCTCTCAGCAGGTAAGTTGCCCACTGGTAGTTCTTGAGGTCTTGCCTTTCTTGTTTTGCACCACTGGCATTGATGTTGAATGGTCTTGATCGCTGACCTCAGTCCTAGCACCCAGAAGCGTTGTCTTACTTCGTTCATTACGGTCGCGTGATTCCCGTGATTGAAGCGGCAGTGAAATTCTTCTATGATGAGAAGTGTTGTCTTGTCCTTGCTGTCGAGTACGATGGGTCGTTTGTAGTCTCTGGTAACCCCTCGTATCGCGTCGATTCTTCCTTTCAGTCGCAGGAGACCTTCTTCTAGCACTACGTCGAGCCTTTTCAACTTGCTGCTGCCCTCTAATTGTTTTCCTTGCTGTAGGCACCTGATGTCCTCTTTGAAGCATTTCTCTTGACTTCTTCTTAACAACAGCGTTTCAGCTTACTCTAGTAGACTTGTTTCCAATGGTATGTATTTCCTTTCTGACGTTTTTGAAGACAGATGTCGCTTCTCAACAATTTTCTTATTCCTTTTTGTAGTTTTCCAGGTAGGATCTTCTTTGCTGGCGTGGACCTTTTCCTTTCTTCTGCAGAGTTGTATGAACTGCAGTACTCTTGCTGTAGCTCGCCAAAGTCTTTTCCACGACGAGAACTTTTCGGGATCTGGTGATGGATAGGAGCTGCCTGCAGTCGCTACGATGTCCGCTGCCTTTTCTTCGCCAGTGGTTTCTTTCTTGAATGTTCTTGCCGCAGGCCAGTGAACTTCATCTCTTCTTAGAAACCCTGGTCCGGTGTACCATCGGTGTTGGCAGTCGAAGTGTTCTGGTACGTCACGTGTTGCATCATCTGCAGGGTTCTGCGCCGTCGGTACCCATCTCCAGTCCTGTGGTTTTGTGAGATCTTCTATCTCCGCCAAGCGATGAGCCACGAATGTCTTGAAGGTGCTCGGGTCCGTCTTGATCCATGATAGCACGATACTGGAGTCTGTCCAAAACGTCTTCTTTTCTATTTTCAGATCCATTTCTTCCTCGACCGAGTGTGCCAATCTGCTTCCTAGGAGGGCCGCTTGCAGCTCGAGTCTCGGGATTGACACCGGCTTCAACGGAGCGACTCTTACTTTTGCTGTTACTAAGCTGACGTCATAAGTCCCATTTTGATTTTCAGTTCTCCAATATACCGTAGCTGCATACGCCATTTCGCTTGCATCCGTGAACGTGTGCAGCTCCCCCTCGGTGCGACGTGGTGCCAGACATCTCGGGATCTGAAGGTCTTGGAGCAGCTTCATCTTCTCCAGGTAAGTCTTCCATGACTCGTACTCCTTTTCTTCTATCTCTTCATCCCAACCGACGCCACTTCGCCATATGTTCTGGAGCAGCCTTTTGCCTTGGATGAGAATTGACAACATTTCATTTTTTGAACATCCCTATGTTATAATTTTAATTAAAACTAGATCAAAAATGAGGCGACCCATATCTTTTCTTTTTTCGAAATGATGCCGTTTTCATATAAAATTTCCACTTTGAAACTCGTCTTATTCTAAAAAGACGTAAGCGACAAATGACGTCATTAATTAGGTTGAATAGCGATATTGCCTTTGCCTTTCTCTCATCCGTCAAAAAAATATACTAATGTCATTTTGGCATTACAAAATCTTTCCTTGTCAGTTGTCTGTGTACAAAAGTTTCAAAGCTTAAACGTTTTGTTTTTTATTGTGATTGTCATATTTTGAGAAACAATTCAAAATTCAAACGTCAATTATTCAGAAATGACACATATGACATATGACACTGACGTTGGACGAATAATTTCAGTGTGTGTGTGTCAGTCAACTTCGTGTTCCGAAGGTTCGCCCTAAAGCCTATGGAGTCCCTTTCTGTAAACCAGCGTAGTCCCAGTGTCTTCTCTTCCTTCTCACCAAGGTCCACCTCTGTCTTCTCAACTGACTCAGTCTTCACGTCTTGCAGCAGGTCGGAGTGGTTTGACGCCCATCCTCGGAGTTCGAAGCCCGCCTTTTTGTGAATGAAGTCCACCTGCGCTGTAATTCTCTTGAAGTCCTCTTCTGAATGGAAGCTGTGCAGGTAGTCATCCATGTAATGGTTCAGCTCGATTGCCTTTGCTGCCTCTGGGTACTGCTTCTTGTAGTCCGCCGCGTTCCGGTTCTTCACGTAGATCGCTGTGCTAGGAGATGATGTCGCGCCGAAGATGACTGATGTCATTCTGTACTCCTTCGGTGCTACGTCACGACGATCCCCTCGCCACAGGAACTTCAAGCTGTTTCTATCTTCTGGCCGGATGCGAACTTGCAGGAACATTTCCTTTATGTCGGCTGCCACTGCAAACGGGCCTTGCCGGAACCTCAGTAATACCCCGAAGAGCAATTGCAGTAGGTCTGGTCCCGGTAGTAAAGCGTCGTTGAGGCTTCTCCCTTTAGACTTGGCTGCAGCGTCGAAGACGATCCTTATTTTCTTCTTCAATGGATGTACCACGGAGAAATGAGGGAGGTACCATGTCTTCTTTGAATCTTCTTGTCCACCAGGTGCTTCTTCTGCATACTTGCTGTCGATTAGATGCTGGATCTGCTTATTGTATTCTGCCTTCAGCTGAGGGTCTTTGTCTATCTTCTTTTCAATGTTGAACAATCGGTTCTTGGCAGACGTGTAGCTTTCAGGCATCTGTTCATCTTCATTTTTCCATAGAAGTCCAGCTTCAAATCGACCATCTTCTAGTCTTCTGCAGGTCTTCTCTAGGATGGTGAGTGCTCTTCCTTCTGAGTCCGTAGTGGGTCTTCTTGGTAGCACTCCAAGTGCTTCGATTGCGAAGTGATCCTTGATGGCTTGATGCATCTCTTCTTCTGGCGTGCTGACATGTAGACACGTGTTTAAGAAGTGCACCACTTTCGCGCCTCCAGTGTCTGACCCGTGGAGCACCCATCCAAGTCCTGTTCTTGAAGCGACTGGTTGTCCTGGTTTCCCTCTTCTTACTTCTTGAGTCACGATTAGCTCCCAGTTGTCTTGACCGATGAGCAGCTGTGGTGACTCCCCCTTATAATATAGAGAGTCAGCAATCTTCTTCAAGTGTTGACACTCTTCTATCCTTTTCTTTTCTAGGAACTGCGGTGCAAGCTTCAACTCGTCGATGGTCCGGACTCTTCTCAAGGTCTTCTTGGTCTTCTGATGAATCCCCTTCACCGTAAGGTCCAGCATCTGAGAGTCTTCCTTCCTTATCAGCCTGCCTCCAACAGTCTCGATGACCAGTTCCTCCTTTCTTCCTTGAGCGCCGATTTCTTCTGCTACCTTCTGGTCTAGCAGCGACACTGTTGACCCTTCATCCATGAGGGCCAATATCTTCTTTGATCCTTTTGACCCGAAGATTTCTATCGGAATTATCTTCAGGTATGCCCTTGCGTTGTTGACCGCATTCACCGATGCCATGATGCTCGCCACGTCTTGTGGTTTGTTCTTCTGTTCTTCCGAGGAACTTTTCTCTATCTCGACGTGCAGCAGATGATGATGCCACCTCTTGCATTCCTTGCACGACGGCTTCTTGCAGCTCTCCTTCCGATGTGTCCCTTGTAAACACTTGAAGCAAACGCGGCTTTTCTTCACTATTGCCCATCGATCTTGCACAGACGCCTTCAGGAACTTCTGACACCCGACGAGGAAGTGTTCACCCTCACACATGGGGCAAGTCTTCTCTGATCTTGAAACCTTTCCTTTGAAGTCCTTTTCCTTAGTTGAATGCGTTGCTTGTCGATGAGTCCGTCTGAACCCGCTCTTCTCTTCTGTTGATGCATAAGCTCCACACTTGTCTGCTTCTCTGTTCAGGAACTTGGACACCAGTGTTAGGTCGGAGAACTCGCCTTCTTCTGTTGTTTCAATGAAGTCGTACCATCGGAACTTGAGGATCGTAGGCATCTTCTCAATAATTTGTTTCACCATCTCAGGTGAATGCAGGTACTGTGGTTTCTTCAATCCTTTTATTGCCGCTACGCTGTTGCTGATCTGGCTCGCGAAGAGGCATATGTCCCTTGGGTTTTCAGAAATCTTCGGCAACGTTTTGACCTTGTCCAACTCTGCCAGCACCAGTGCATCTGGTCTTCCATATCTTCTTCTGAGGGCTTGAATCACTTCCATCGGAGAGGCTTCGGAGTACAGCAGACTCTTGATAGCTTCTCTTGCGTTGCCCTTCAGTGCTCTTCTTAGCCGAGCCATATTCTGGACGTTGTTGAACATCGGTGCTGTATCTTCATAGACAACCTTGAAGGCCATCCACTCGCTGCTGTTGCCGTCGAAGTAGGGTAACTCGTGAATGTAGGTTGGCTGTCCTGCTGGTCCTCGCGTGGTAAGAGCTTCCTTCAATGCTGCCGTCAGTGCTTGAATTTCAATCGTAGCTCCTCTCGTTGAGGAGTTCTCTTCAGGCTTCATCTTCTGTGGCTCTTCCAAGGGGTGTGGACCTCGCATGTCTGGTTAAACTTTGTTGCCATCCTCCAGCACAGACGTCTCGATCCAGTTCTGCACCTGTGCTGTTCTGTCTTCCAGGTCTTCATCCACGGAGTCCTCTTCTTCACACTGTGCCATCTCCAATCTGACACGGGCTAGCTTAGTTTCAGCCTGTGCTTGCTTCAACTCCAGGCGTGCCAACTCTTCCTTTGCTTCTAGCTCGCGTCTTCTGGCCGAGGAACTCGTGGTCTTCGTGGACCTGGCGCGACGACTGACCCCCATCGGTTTCAGGGTCTTGGAGGAGCCTTGAACATCCTTTCCAGGTACATCTTCTTGGCTCTTCCTGGTCATCCTCTGTGCAGCATCTTCTTTGTTGCCTTCCATAGACGCCGCCGTAGTTGCAGTCGTAACCGTAGTCTCCGTCACTGTGGTGCCCTCCGTGGTCGTGGTACCCGAAGAAGTGTTCGATGTAGTTGCAGTTCCCGATGACGCCGACGCTGACGTGACCCCTTCTGATCCCGACGTTCCATCTGTCGCGTCCCTATCTGAAGGACGGGACCCGGGACGTGAGGGGGCATCCTTCTGCGACCTGGTTACCGGCATCTTGAACGCAATCTTCTGTTTCTTCTGAACTTCTTCTAGCAGGGATCCGGCTCGAAGGACCAACTGTTTCGGACGACCAGAACCAGGGTATGTCTAGTACCCGGAGGTCGACCTGGGACAATCTCCCAGACGTTCTTGGCGTACACGGCAGTATGTCCGTTCGCTGGTAATGTACGCCACCACGCACCCCTGAATGCGTAGCTAGGGTCCCGATCCACTAGGGTTTCTTCGTTGACAGGAGACTATACTTAGAGGCGATGAAATAAAAACACAATTTTTCCTTTTTTTTCTCTTGGTTTCGGTTCTTCCTTTTCCTTTTAGTTGTTGCCTCTTCGGTGGCTGTCTTGCGACTGACTCGAATCGAGAAATGGCTCGCCTTTTATTTGGCCCGTTAATACCTTACAGAGAGCCGCGTACTTTGAGCTCATTTTTCGAGTAAAATTTCCCTAAACCGAAACCTTGAGAGTCCTTTTATTTTATGTTTTCAGTAAAACACCTTACACATATTTATTTATTTACATGCCTTACATACTATTATACAATATTAAAACATAATATTCAATATATAATAATTAATTAAAAAAGTCTTAAAACAAAAATATCTAAATTTCTAGGTTGCTACATTTTTACTATACATTTTCCCTTATAACTTTTGAACGGATAGTCCTATCGACCTAATTCTTGTTTTATTATAAGTTTTATAATAAAATCTATTATTTAAAACATAAACTATTATGCTATTGCAAGAAACAAAAAATCTCATTTTCAAGTTACGTAATTATATGCTAACATTTTACTTACGTACCTATTCCTTTCAAATTAATGTTAAATAGTCTTATATGATTCAAATAAGCAAAAAATACTCTAAACTAACCTTATTACACTAATTAGAACTTATTTTAACATAATAAATCTAATAAGAATGAGATTTCATATTTACAACAATTATTCATAATACGCTAAAATGACATTGTCCCTATATTAATACACACGTTACTCGAAGATAGGTTTTCCGTCGCCGACAATAATTTACAATAATAAATAAATAAAAATAAAATAGCCTTTATTCAGAGAAGAGAGTACAGTACATATTGTAATAATTATGAATAGTTATTACGTATTGATAATAGTTATTGTAAATAGTTATAATGTATTTGATCTCTGTGTGCCATTATAAAATTGTGAAAGTTTGTGAGTATAGATGTTTGTTACTCTTTCACGCCAAAACGGCTAAACGGATCTGGATGAAATTTGGCACTGAGATAGATTATAATCTGGAATAACACATAGGCTACTTTTTATACCGGAAAAATGGTTTCCGAGGGTTAAATTTGTATTTTGTTTTCTTAAAGGCGAACTGAAGCGAAGCGAGGGTGAGCCGCTAGTTTTACAATATGTCATAATTAATACAATAATCATATTCTTATCCTATGTGAGGATCAACAAATAGTAATCCCAGACATTTGCATCAGCAAATTAATATGCTTTGCTAAATAAAAACGATGCATCCATTCTTTTAATAACGACACGTTTGACTCAGTTTGTAGTGACCATACTTGCTTGCTAGTCGCGGGTTCGAGTGGGGGCATTCATTTGTGTGATGAACTGCAACCTTGGGTGTTTATATTTATAATATGTATGTACATTAAGTTATATATGTGTAGCGTATCAACTATCTGGTATCCATAACACAAGCCTCGTAGCTTACCATGTACGAACTAGATGGCGCTGTGTTGATGTACCAACATATTATTATGATTACTAGCGACTTACCCTCGCTTCGCTCGGGTTCGTCCCTAGGTACATTTTAATGTTTGTGAGTGGAACCCAATTCTTTTACTGAAATTAAAGTAGCCTAAGTTACTCCTTATAACATCAACTACCTGCCAGTGAGAGTCCCGTCAAAATCGGCCCAGCCGTTTCGAAGATAAGACAGACAGAAATTTTATAAATTGTGTTTTTCTTATAAATACCGTATATAATTCCTTATGCATTTAGTAAAAAGATGTTATTTCGACATTACAAACAGACACTTCAATTTTATTTATCTGTATAGATTATCCTCACCGTATATACCGTGTCACTGTCCACATTCTTGCCGAGGAGGGAGGCTCGCAGCATCGCGTACGAGGCAGCGCTCTGCGGTCGATTGTTGGTTATTATTAGAGATCCAATGGATAACCGGCAGCTATCCAGTATCCGGCCTTATTTTTTTAGCCGGCCGGATACCGAATACTAACGCAATATCCGGCCGGATACCGGATAGTAACGCAATATTAGAATATTTAAAAAAAACTTATTAAACTGCAAGAAAAATATATGTGTGGGAAATAATACATAATTGGCTTTTAGTTGATATATAGTATTAGAAAAATGGAAGTCATTGTCAAAAATGTTTGTGAATAAATGATCAAAATACATTATATTTATATATTGCCCATATGGTTTTATTGTATTTTGTATTCAGGTAAAGCAGTTATAACTAATTATGTTTAAATATTATTAGTATGAATGCATTAAGCACTGCATAAGCATAAAATAAACGTCAATTATATGGAAAATTATAAAGAATATGACATACAGAAGACCACGCAGACTGAGCTAGTAGACAGGCAGTAGTAGCCCAGTGGTAACGCGCTCACTTTGGAGACCGAGTAAAACGGGTTCAAATCCAATGACTCGCACCTCTGATATTTTCATGTGCTAATCATTTTCAACATGATTACCACTTGTCTTACCGTGAAGGAAAACACTGAAGAAAGGTGCATGTTTGAAAGAACTTAATGGCCCGATCCCCCTCGTGTTGAAGGGAAGCCCATGCCCAGCAGTGGAATGTTAAAAAGGGCTAAATATATACTCGTCACATACAGAAAACTATGTATCTCTCATTTATTTGAAGCTTCTATCTGCAGTTATAACTGTTTATGAAACTCAAAATCAAAAATGTACTGATATACGAGTACCTACATAACATATAATTAAAGAAAATGTCTCGTTAAAACCTTCATTAAAATCATAATGTTACCTTAGAAGCGGAAGCTTTCTGAGCTTCACTTGAAAGCACAGCTTTCAGAAGACTCGGCTTTGTTGTAGGAGTGGATGTCTTAGGAGATTTAACTGGGGACTGTATGCAGAAGAAACCTGCTTCGAATGTCTTATTTTCTGAAGAACTGATAGCTGGTTCACCTGCTTGCTCTGTTACTTGTTCTTTTTTGGCTTTTCTTGCAGCTGTGGATAAAGAAATGAAGAATCTTAATTAAACATATATCAATTTTGTACTTTTCATTAGTAATATGAATAACATAATTTTGGTCTTGTTTTATTTTTAATTAAAATTTACGCTAAGATCTTTCAAATAAAACCCCAAAATAAAAAAAAGCTATTTTGACGTTTAAAAACAATATAAAATATATTTTTGTTTATAATATATACATTTTATTTGTTGGTATGTTATGTTATGAAATTTTAAAGAAAACTATCTTTTTAACTATCTTGCCCCAGAGACTGACTGGGTCTCTCCCCTGACCATGATTGCTGTAAAGCATTTGAAACGTCAGAAACAAAAAATCTAAATAAATCAGAGAAAAATCTGCAAAGATAGTTTTATTATCTATTCTTATAAAGTCACATGGTTCATATGTTACCAGCAATCATATCCCTCAAGCGACTGGTGGCAGCTGGTTTGTTTCTATTAACGGGAGGTTTTGCTGTTGGTTTCTTTTTAACTTCGACGGGGGTTTCCTCGGTCCAGCCCCGAGCTCGCATCTCTTCTAGCTTCTTAAACCTCATGTCTACATTCACTATCTGTACATAAGAAAAATCTCACATTATTATAAATTAGCGACCCACTTTGGTTACCCTTCGGATTCGTCCCTAAACTAAAACCATTCTATCCCAGGGAAACCATACATTTTTCTGGGATAAAATGTAGCCTATGTGTATTTCAGACTATAATCTATCTGTAACAAATATCATCCATATCCGTTCAGCCGTTCTGGCGTGAAAGAGTAACAAACATCCATCCTCACAAACTTTCACATTTATAACATTAGAATGGATATCAATATGGATTCACAAGTGTCTATTATAGGTATTCTTTATTGCACTAAAAATTATAAAATCATATTTTATTAAAAAGATGTAAAGGGTAATGGTGGATTAATAAAGAAATCTCTTTGAGACAATGTATGGGGGTGAGAGTGTTATCTAGCAGAGCACAATAGTGCAGAAGAAATGTATAATAAAAAAATACATATGTACACATACATACATGCTAGGGTGGTCTAAAAAAATTTTTTGTTTCAAGTTTCTTACGAAAATATATTAGTATGTGTTCAGAAGTCACTCGAAAAGGTCTAAGGTACTCTACTTGGAAACTTAAACAGATCTTGAGCGCCCTTTAAATATTAAAATATTGACTTGAAAACTTCAGAATCCTAATTAAAAAAACAAAAACAATTTCCAACAATTTTGGTAATTTTTAAAAATTTTAGCAACTTTTTGATTTTTTTTTTTTTGAACTGGGCATAAGAGGCCTCTTAAAATATGATAAACTAACATTTTTTCATAAGAGATTAAAAAAAATGTTTTTTTTTGGCCACCCTAGTATTGTTTCAGTTGAGTGAGCTTGTTACTGCTTCTTGTAATGAATCAATGTATATTATTCAATGTTTTCCATTCACAGTAAAAAAAATTATACAGTATAACAAAAATAAAATAATATGTAAACTTTGTTTTGGTTCATCATGATGCTGTTTAGAGATAACTTTATTTTATTATGTTGTAAGGTATCTGCAATTTTCTAATGATCTATTACAGTCAGTCTTACATTTCATAGACTGTTCAAGGTACCATAGAAAACCAAAGTTTTTTTATTAAATCACTGTTTTTATTATTATCCTAGTTTATCCCACATTGCATACCTGCATAAAGACCATATCCCAAAAGCCATGCAAGTCTCCGGGAGTGACGAGAGCCTGTCCATGTTCCGGACATTCGCACCTCAGCAGTAGAGAGGCAAACTGCTGTAACTTCTGAGACATCAACAATCTAGCTTGACCTATGGCACCGAGTACAGCTTCCTGGAAGATAAACAGTACATAACATATGTGAAATTGGAGAAGTAATCTGTGCTCAACTGGCATGCTTTCAAGCATGTAAGAAGAAAATTAAATTTAATTGAACAGTATATAATTACTTTTTTAACTACACCAATAATATTTTCTTTACTTGGGCCAATTTCAAAATCAATTTAAATGTGTTTTGTTATATTGTATTGTTGTATCCAGCCCTTTTCTTTAACATACCACTGGTAGGCACAGAACTTTGTTATATTATCTATACTATAAAAAAACTGTAGAGGTCGAATGTCTGTACATAGAAAAAAAATGCTAAAAACCGAGTCAGGAGGGTATAAGAAGAAAAACAGAACAAATCCAAAATTTCTTCAATTTTTTTGTTTCTTTAAGAAAAATTCTTTAAAAATTCTAAAAACTACAGATTTGGCCTCTGTATTGATAATAAAGTCAATTTCAATAAGATTTTCCAAAATATACTTATTGTACAGCATAATTAGAATTTTATAATATGTATAGATTTATACACCTCACGGTTAATTTCTAAGAAATGAATTGTTAACCGAACCCGTGTCTCGACGGTCATTAATAGGTTAATATTTAATACTAGCGGCTCACAAACAAACAAATCTACCCCATGGGAAACATACATTTTTCCATGATAAAAAGTAGCCTATTTGTAATTCTGAGGGTACCTATAAAATTGTAAAGCTTTATTATAATCCAATCAGTAGTTTTTGTGTACTAAGCTGTATAAGTTACTATAGTTCTTTAACTATCCTACTGGAGCTCTTAAATTTTCCGGGATGAAAAGTATGTAAAATGTTGACCGGGGATATAAGGTAACACCACGCAAAATTTCATTTAAATCAGTCTAACAGTTTCGGAGATTAGCATGTACGAACTGACAAACAGAGAAACAAAATTTTTTTAAGAAAATCTGCATTTGTTCTATTTCTCTTTTTACAGCCCCCTGACTCAGTTTTTAGCATTTTTTTTCTACGTCGTCACAGACATTCAACGACTCCCTCCACGACCGTGGATACGCCGGCGTGTCAGTTAATAATAGATTTCTTAGAAATTTAATTAATTTCTTAGAAATTTACGTAGAGGCAAAAATGTTGTATCACATACACAAAGACGTGGTTCTATTATAATTATTTTAGTTGAAAATTACCTGCACAGCTTCTGGCAAAAGTATTTGTTCCGAGATCTTCTCCCAAGTGTCACACAGTTCTGTCATGCGTTTGATCTCCGAGTCTAATTGTCTTCTGAAATTCTCCACACTTTCCATTTCACATAGATCGTCATCTAACAAACCTAGAAATTTAATTTATAATTAGTCTTAATAAAAAAGGGATAAAATGTTAAACACTAGTGACTCACCTTCGCTTTACTCAGGTTCATCCCTAGATGATTCTTTAAATTGACATAACTTTTTTATTTATGAACTGATTGAAGTAAAACAAATACTAAATGTTAAGTGAAGCTTACCCACAATAGTTTAGTGAAAACGCACCCAAATCGGTTGAGTCATGTCAGATATTAGCATGCAAAATCCACAGAGAAACAGACAAAAAATCTAAAAATCATTGTTTTGGATTCTATAGCATTAATAAAAAACTCCCAATAATAGTTTTATTCAAATATCTTCCATGTACAGACAGTGATCAGTTACACTTTTATTATATATATAGAATACTTTAAGATAAATTGGCTAAGTAAAGGAAGGTTGATAAGGCCTGATGAATGATGATGTATACTACTCATGAGATGCCAAATTTTGGTCTAACTGGGATTTTCATTCAAAATGAGACATTTTTAGTAACATTTCAAATTTTATTAATATTTTATTTTTAGTACTTCCATCTTGCACTCTAAGTAAATTCATGTATTAATATCTTATATTCCAAGAAATTTCCAATACTATATTATCAATGTAAAATGTATTAAAGTTATTTAATGTATGTTTTATATTTAATATGTTATATTATTTAAGTTGTATTACCTTATTAAATAAAATTTCGCGTAAATCTAAGAAAGTATTATTGTATTACCTTCTTTTAACTTCTTTTTCATCTCTTTCCTCGCATTATCCTTGCCTCTTGATAAAGTGACACATGGACTAATTTTCTTAGCTTCTTCCACAATCTGTTGTGGAGTCATTGGCATTTCTATAGATTTTGGAGATCTTAGTTTTTCTTCGGAGCTTGATTCACTTTTTGGTACTATGTTTTTAGGTGTGATTTTTTTTTTATTTTGAATGAATTTTCTAGGAGTTTTAATTATAGGCGATTTTTCACTCGTATTTGAATCAACACTGCTTGAAGAGGCTGATGACACCTTTTCTGGACTTACATTTTTTATACTTTTAATATTTTTTCGATCTGGTCTAGTTCTTAAATTTCTTAGTTCATATTTATTAGGAGCAGACTTAGGTTTGGCTTTATTTTTGTATTTATGTAGGATTTCCATTGCATTATTTTTCTTTTCATTTGGTAGCTTTGGTAGTTCTAATGTAGGTTTATCTAGATTTTTTAGTACAGGGTTAAACATTGCATTTTTAGGAGCAAAAGATTGAGGATCATTTTTTAATTGTTTAGTCTCTTTAGAGACTTTTTGCTTGCATACATTATTACTATTTCTCGCTGTTTGTGACCTAGTAACACGTCCAGAATTGCTTGGCATAGGTTTGGGGGGTGGTGGGGGAACAAATTTTAAAGCATTGTGTGCAACACCAGCTATAAACGGTTTTTTCTTATGCAATGCGGCTTCTTTCTTTTTCTTTTCCTTTTCTTCCTTCCATTTCTCTAGTTGCATCCGCCTGTATTCCACTTTAGATTGTACATCTTTTACTGGTGCTGGACTTTCTGGTTTTGGAAGATTTCTTATTCTATCGAAAACTGATAATCGAAGAGTTTTCCTCTTCTTAATATCATTCGCGAGCCGCTTCTTTACCTGCAAATCATGAACACACTATCAACAAAGCGATATTGCTTATTTTGAACTATTTGGAATAATATTTTGTATAGGTACATGGATACGACCTACCGCATGCATGGTTATGATTATCAATTTATGGTTCTATGAATACATATTACAAAATGATTAGGTAATTTTAAACTGGAAACAGTACCCCGCCAGCTACGCTTACAAACTGCTCAGGTTTACTTTTGTGTTTCTTTTCATTGTTCTGCAACAATTTGCTGAAGTCGAAACTTTTCTCTGAAAATAATTAGTTACTGAATGTTAGGAAACAAAATCATATTAGGTATCAAATTTAATTTTGAAAACATAAGACAGGTATAGAAAAACAAAACTTTGCTGTGTAAGTTATGTATATAAATTATTGTTTTATATAAAACAATCTATTTTGTTAAATTATATAGTAGAATTGATAATATTTACCCATTACATAAATCCTGAAAAAGAAAATAAAATAAAAAGATTTATTCTACAAAAGCACCCACGATTTCAAATTGTAACTGTCACAAAAACATCCAAATTCTAAAATATCATAGACAAGACATTTTAAACTTTCTTGCCATTACTTAGCTTTTTGAATAATATTAATGATGTCTATTTGTCGTGTTATTTAATATTATAAATTATAATGATGTATAAAACAATTTAAAATAAAAGATTTGTACTATTTGCGAATTATTTATATTAATTGATGATTGATATCATACAAGAACTTTTGCTCCACCTATATTGCTTATGAGTACTTTTATTTTATTTAATCATATAATATTACCATATTCTTGTAATATATTAATATTTGATCTTATACCAAAAAAATACAATTTATAATAAAAGATATTTTTAAAATATATTTAATTAACCACAAACTAAAAAAAACATGTAACATGGTAATATTATTTTTAGCTTCCGGCTGTCAGCTGATAGACTCGTCGTAATTGCTTTCCAAAACCTATTTCGATTTTCCCAGAGAAAACGTCAGGCACCATTCAACATGGGCTTGAAATACGCTATCAATAGCTAGTCATAGCTGAAATATTGCTCTAATTGTAGTGTTATTGTTATTTTAGTTTCGTTTTATATGTACATTGTGTAACTCATAAATTAGTCGAAAATGGATACGTTTATCTTAGGATACTTCGGTTATGGCGTTTGTTGATCACTAAATAATTTCGTTCGGTTGATAATTTACTTTCCGTTTGATGTCTGCTTTTCGTTTCTAATTGTCTATTTTGTTCGTGTTTACGTGTTTTTTCGAAATGGTTAAGGAGAAGCCTAATTCGATTCGGATATACGACGATGAAGGGTTTAGGCGCCGCGCGGCTTGTATATGCGTACGGTCAGACGCCGAAACGGAGGTTAGCATGAAGTTTATACTTGAATATCAGTGATAATCATGTGAATTTCGATGCAATGGTGTGTTTTGTGCGTAGGTGTTGCTTGTGACGTCTTCGCGTCGGCCTGACAATTGGATTGTGCCGGGTGGCGGCGTGGAGCCAGAGGAGGAGCCATCAGTGACTGCGATGCGTGAGGTTCTGGAAGAGGCCGGCGTCATTGGCAAGCTGGGAAGATGCCTCGGTGTCTTTGAAGTATGTACCTACATGATTATTATTTTTGTCATAACCTCTTGACAGCAGCACAAAGACATGTCAACATTGACCCCATATGTTGCAAAAAAGTTGCATTGTGAAATATAAATGTAAGCTTTATGTTCATTATTACCAAGAAATCATGGAAGGAATGGTTAAAAATAACATAAATCAGATTAAAAAACTTTTTTTTTTTCAACTACTAAAAGTAAATGATCAGATCAGATTAACAGTATGTATTTAATATACTATCTGTTACAATAACAATGTTTATTAATATAAATATTAATTATAATTAACTTGTAAATTCAATTATTTAAGTTGAAGTCTTAATGGGTTTTTATTATATTATATAAAATGCTTACAGTAAGAAGGTACTAGTTAAAGCCTAAAAATGGCCTACATTTTTAAGAAATGATTCTCTTACTAGAGGATATATTTAAAATCACTTACACAACTTGTTTATTTAAACAATAATATAACTTATGCAATAGTTCATTAACCTCAACTTTGTATTCTGTGTTGCTAAGGGAGTAATAGTATGGTCTTTATTTTATTGTAATTTTACTGAAATACTCTCGACATCACACATTTATTACTTTTTTATTTCAACAACTTTTTACTTTTTTATTTTATATTTGGAAATATTTATGTATGAAGAAGGTTTCATAGGATATCAGATATTTTTATTCTTCAAGCACAGCGTTTTCCACACTTAGACCATTGTAAGTGAACTTGTGCTAATTTTTTTGAATGCATTGTTCTTTCCAACCAAGAGAGAACCAGTAAGTCTAACTATATTAATCTATTACATGGATACTAATGCATGTATGAATGCAGGGGTCCTGTTCAGTCAAACCCAGGTTTATTTATTAAGTTTTTCTGTTAAGAAATTCTCAGTGACAGCCTGGAGTTGGAATGAATCCCTTACCGATCGTGTTGAATTATTGTCCCACCAGATTTTGAGGGTGATAGGAATAGAGTGCCGCACTATAATTTCTCCTATGCAGTTTGCTAATCGACTGAAATATGTCAAGAGGATGACATTATTGCATGCATGTGCTTAACATGATATTATGGACATTGCACAAACTTTTACACCACAATGATTTATAGAGTTAGGTCATAAAAAAAGTCTGTTCTAATTTTGATTTTTGTAACATACAATATGTCTTCTTCTATTTATCATCGAAGATTCGATAATAATGAAAGAATACTCTGGAACTCTTGTAACCATTAAGGTAAAAACATGGTTTTTTTTTAAAAACATTAATATTTTAGCTCATTGATGTTATATTTATATATGTGTAGACTATTCTTACTTTTGTTACATCACTTGAAATATTGATAAATAATTTCTAAGCCGTTAATTTCAATTCTATGATCACATTATGTAATCATGAAAAAATGTTACAATCTTATCTTTGGAAAGCAATAAAGAGCCTACACAAAGTTTGTAATCTTTTAATAGGTTTTCCTAATATGTTTTAATCTTCTTAATTACTAGTAAGTTGGTTGTGTAAGTCCCGTTACACTGTCTTTCAGAAATTATATGTTACACCATTTAGATTGGATTACCTGTTGGATATATTCATATAGTCTTATCTATATCTAGGACGATTTACTACTGTTAATCACCCTAACGACAAGTTTGGCTCAGTTTTAGTGTCCCTACTGCTATGCCAGTGGTCGCGGGTTTGATTCCTGCTGAGGGTATTCATTTGTGTGATGAGCATGTTTGTACTCCAGCCATGGGTGTTTATATTTATAATATGTATATTGTATGTATTTAAAAGTTATATATGTGTATTGCATAGTGTATCAACTATTTGGTATCCATAACACAAGCCTCGTAGCTTACCATTGAACCAGATGGTGTTGTGTGTTAATGTCTCAACATATTTATATTTATATTAGACATTTAAAAAAAAACATGTTGATATGTAACTACCCTAAGGTTTCACACATATGCTTAAAAATACTTTGTTGAAAAATGTATAACATTACAATTAGTATTTTTCGAAAAAGAAATAAAAACTGCGTTTTTACAAAAAATACCTATAAATATAAATAAACTTAAAAAAGCATAACTTCATCTGAATACAAAATTCGATCCAAATTGTTACAGACGTTTCCGCGATACACGAAATTTTATTCATTTTATATATTATTAAGAATTACTCGTTTAATATTATAAGATATAATTAATTTTCCTACTTAAATTGTAGAGGGTTGTTATATAATATATATGCCCGATTTCACCAACAACCCATAAGTTGCCACCTACGTATGGGATCCCTAGCTTAAAAGTCCCCTAAACTAGCCCCTAAATTAAACTTCGTTTTACGATCGTCTTTAAGCCCATTTTTCGAGCACCTAAATTTAGGGGGCCTTTTAATATTTAGATGACCCGTAACAGTCGGTGAAACAGAAACTGTCCCCTAATAGCTCCGTAACCATGCTTAGGGGATCCCTTTAACTTAGGTGACGTTGGTGAAATCGGGCAATAGTCTGTTCGCTAAATTAGTTTCGCCCAAAAACACACACGCTGCACATATGGCTAATTATCAAAAAAGCCGCCACCGTACACCTGCAGGGGCCCATTCTATTAGAGAGTATATATTACCAGTCTTTATCGGTTTATATACTTTATTGTAAGTACAGGTAGTAATTGGAACAAAAGTATGACGATAATGACGAAAAATAAATAATTTGTATTTGAGTAATTTTATTATTGCTTTTTTTCTCTATGGCATTCTCTAAAGCCTCGTCTAGTTCTAACTATAACAAGTTGTCTTCACATTCTGGGAGTCGTGCAGGTGTACCTACTGATGGTAATTGGCTAAAGACACTTAATCATAATTTACTTTACGCTTTCTACTAATATTACGACATTATATTTTTTATTGTCAATTTAATTCGCAATAAGATACAAAATAAGCAAATATTCTATGTAGAAACAGCTTTTATATTCGGATAAAGTTTCAGCGGTTCCTTATTTATTTTTATACTAGCATTGCCCGCGGCTCCACCCGCGTTCAGGTGACCAAAAACCAAATTCTTAGGTTTTACAAATTAGTATACTCTTACAATGCAGTTTTTGTATTTTTTCTCAGAAATGAGATATTTTCCCGTGATAAAAAGTATCATATATTGGATTCGGACTCTTATCGATAATAATATCTATTTCAATAAGATTTTCCAAAAAATATTTAATGTACAGATTCGGCTTAGTTATAATTTTATTATATGTATACTCGTAGATTGTATACCCTCATATAGTGTTAATTTGGTGATTTCGGTAACTACTTGAGAAATTTGCGTACAATTATTCTAAGATAATGATATTTATTTAATTGTTCTAAGTTTCTAAATAATAAAATAATAATTACTCGTATTCTAAGTTTATAAAACTGCAAACTACAATGTTTACAACTACCGGCGCTTTCCAAGAATTGTATACTGTATAATCATGTATTGGTTTTGTAAATAAGTACCTAGTTTGTTACGCTCACAAAGTTGGCCGACGCGGCTCAAATGCGAATACTTTAGTAACTGTAGTGTGTTCTTCGTCTTACTCTTGCTTCTAGGTTTTGATACATCTTTTTGTGTTACGTTTTCTAGTTTTAATGGTGAACATTTACGCTTCTTCAAAGCAAAGGATTTTTTGACGACACGTTTGACTCAGTTTTTAGTGATCGTACCTGCTGTGCCAGCTGTCGCAAGTTCAAGTCCCGCTGGGGACATTCATTAGCGTGATGAGCACGAATGTTTGTACTCCAGTTATGGGTTTTTATATTTACAATATGTATTTAAAGTTATATATATAGATATGTGTGTGTGTGTGTACTATCTAGTATCCATAACACAGGCTTCGTACTTACCATGGAACTAGATGGTTCTAGATGTAAATTAAATTGTTATGGATAAGGGATACTATAAAGTTATAAGTACATTTTTTTAATAATTACATTGAATTTGTATATGTATGTAGTGAAAAAAGGCAGGAGATCTTGACGCAATTTCCTTATACTGTGTTCTAGTAATAAGAGAATCCAACTAAGTTCAAAGGCATATTTATGCTATTCTTGAAAAAATCCCTAATTTCACCGCTTTCATTACAACAGTGAAAAAAACTTCTCTCTATCTCGGGTCGCGTCTCGTCGACGAAATGTTAAATTCTTGGTAATCTTTTATCGACAAAATTACTGATTGTAAAACCATAGCAGCCATCTTTAAGTAAATTGCACCTTCCTTGAATCAAAACCTTACGGCTAGTTACTATAACCCGTTATTTTTTAGAATACTAATTACCTCACAGACGAGTTTGTGAACTTTTTCTGTGAATATATAGTTTTTAAATTATAACTTTGAGTTTGAACGTATAATTACGAAATATTTTAAACTAGAAAATCCTCTTTTACAGAACCGAGAGCACAAACACAGGACAGAAGTGTATGTAATGACTGTTACACAGGAGTTGGCTGAATGGGAGGACTCCCGACTGATGGGTCGGAAACGACAATGGTTCTCTATAGACGATGCGCTTGCGCAACTCGCCCTACACAAGCCCATACAACGTCACTACTTACAACAACTCAAGAGGTCTAAACAAAACAAATCTGACGACCCCAGCTAAAGCACTGCGCCTAAGCTTAGATCTATGCAGTGCCGTCTTATACTGGGTACTTAATTATTTTGTGGGTATTTGACATACAACAAGTTATAGGTAAGCTAAAAACAAATATAACACAAAGGAGGTTAAAATTTAAAAAAAAACTTGATAGTGATAGCGTTATTTATTTGTGATTTTTTCTTAGTTAAAACATCATTTATTTTATATCATATTGTTATTTTTATAAGTATTTATTGTAATTGCTTTTGTTTATTCGTAAATAGTCAAGTACCCTACTACCCAGCTTTTGGTTTCGTCGATGCAATGATTATATCTAGATTACCATGAACAGTAAACACTTTTGTTTTTTTAATGTAATTTACTATAAGAGATGGGATCTTATGAACAGGAGGACTAAGTAACTATATACATACATATATATCGAATTGATTTCTTGATATGCTCTAAAATGTTTTCAATGGACATCATAACACTGTCAGCACTATGAAGAAAATATTTGTACCAGTTAGTCACTTGAGAATAACTTGCTTTATTTATCTGGAGGCATTTTAGAATTTATAATTACCCATCTCTATTTATTTCAATAGCTTTTATTCCACTTGCTATTATGTTTCTATCTAAGTCGTGGTTGAAGTGTTGTTTAGGAATTGAATATAGCTCAGGCTGAATGTACATATGACCTTGAGTGTTACGTGTACTGAAAAAAATCAAATGACTAAATTGTGCCTCTCTGTTTATAAATAGAATGTCATCTGTGAATGGGACTTGATGTTTTTCTGCCTTTAAATAACGGCAGAACAAAACGAATGTGTTTTCAAAAATTACAAAATACAGATTAAAAATTTAATTCGCATCAATTTGTATATAGAAACATTGAATTTCATCGATAATAAGATTTTAAAATGTAATTTTCATGTCGCAGATCATCAGAATTTTAAGATACTACCTATATTATATAAATAACTTTGTTCAAGCTTTAAAATAACTATCCATAAATCTGTTATATTTCTCACATATAATGAATACAATTAAGATGTTGACAGTTTCTCTTGCTTTAAAAAAAATAAAAAAAAAAAACATTCATTTGGGACATGAATATTACCAATTTTATAATACGATAATTTCACAATATTATATATTGTATGATAATAATGTGAATGTCGCATGAAATGAAACATTGTTTTAGCTTTTAACAAAGTTTTACTTTTTATGAAGCTAAACTTAATGAGTTCCACATAAGAGATTAAATGTAATTTTAATTTGTAATGTGCTGTAGTTGTTAGTTTTAAATTATTTAAATCTCGACAATGTAATCGGAATTAAAAAACCGCCTCCCTTTTTGTGACAACATATCACATTCTACGAAACAAATTTAATTGAGCAGTACTAACAGTTAATGTTTTCCAAAATAATTCAATTTTATACTAAATGAATTTATTTGTAATGTATTTGGATAACTTTGAAGGCGGTAACGCTTTGTTTTTGACGCTAAAGTTATAGAGTAAGACGGTACTGCAAATTGTCTATGGCTTCACTGGTTGTCTGCAATTTCTAGCTTATGACAACTTAATCAATCGCTAGACACGTAACTTGTAACAACTCCTTTTTTTTCTATTTTTACGCATATTTTTATACAGCAATGGAATAATATATAATTTTATTTTGTTAGCATTAAAACGAAAAGACATACAATCTCCATTTTCCTTTTAAATTTAAATTTGTTTTTTTTAAGATTCCTCAATGAGTTTAAAAAATAAATTTTATATTGCTCTTCTGAAAGGTCTTCATTATTGCTTCGCCGTGAACCAACCTCCCCCTTTTTATAAACATATTTTTATTAAAAAGTTATTTTATTAAAATAAGTTTTCTTATCACTGTCTTATCATTAAAATACTAAATCCTGGTAACACTTGCTAAAAACACCCATACACTTAAAACATTATTAGGGTAGGCGTACACTTCAACACCCAGGCCAAATTCCACATTGGGGTCGTCGTTCACATGTATTGCCGTGGATTTTATACCCGATAATATCAATTTTGTGTTTAAATATGTCATGTTGAGTGGGAACCCGAAAATCTGCAATTGTTTAAGAAAAGTAAAATGTCAAATATTCGCGTAAATCTAAGAAAAAGTGTTAGGCATACAACGTTATAAAAATGACCTTATGTATGCTCCGTCATCAGATCAGCTCGCTGGTATAAAATAATACTGTACTGTGTACTCTACAATCTACATACTTCCAAAAATTTCAAATCGATTTGATCATTGTAATATATTGTACTTGTAAGAAGGCAGTGCTAACGCGCTCGCCTTGGAAAAGGATATACTCAGTCCGCCAACCCGCAGTTAGCGTGGTGGGCTATGTCCAGCAGCGGCACGTTCAAAATGGCCGAAACTGGAGCCTTAAATCATTCTAGTATATGACACTCGCGTTATTAAGACGAATCTAACGACGTATGATTCATCAAAATCGGGTCATATATATAGTAATTACAAGGAAACATAGGATCGAACATACATTCATACATGTCAATCACAACCCTCCTTTGGGATTCGCCGCAGTCGAGTAAGAAGATACGAATTACCTTGTAAGTAGCCATAAGTTGTTTTAACCGATGTCCAAGATTTGGTCGAGGCTCGGTCGGATTGAATGCCCAATACTCGTAGTGTGGAAGCATTTCCCGAAGCAAACTGCTGCAATATCTAAAATACATTAAATCATTACGAAACAATATCCTATTGAAAATATTTCAATCCAAGCTAGCTCGAGACTACTTTGAACAATCTAATCAGTATTCAGAATCTACCTACTGCCTTGGTGGTAAAGTTCGATTCCCGGATCAGGCCAAGTAATTACTGAGTTTTTATGTTATGTTAATAAGTATATTCTCAGTAGTAGCCCCGAGTTGGAAAGTGGGCGGTGTTTCACCCCCGTGTCTAGGAGAGCTAGTGTGCTTATGCTTGTATAAATATTTTTTCCTCACCTATTCCAAATAGTTTTTACGTGAGATCGCCATTTTTGAACTTTATTTTTAACTTTTGTTTCTAGATTAAGACGCAATTTTTCCATTTCTTCTGGTTTGCTATACAGGCTTTCAATCAACGTTGGTTTAGATGCCAACAAGGGTTTATCGAACACCTAAAAAAAAACATTTTAGCTGTTCCCATCAACATCGTATAAGTACTAATATAATTCGTAAACACTAACTAAAGTACTCATGCTTAGTTCTGTTTATATTATTCCTTAGTCTTAGTGTAAACATTAGTTATCTAAATTTCATGTCATCCAATGATGATAAAAACTAAAAGAATGTATTAAATATGTGGGTATTTTTTCGCTGTTTAGCGATAAGGCCGCCTCTTGTACAGTTCTATCTATTCTGTATTTATTTATTTTCTTTTGTTCTTGGTGTACAATAAAGAGTTTATTATTATTATTATTAATTACAGTTTGCCAATCAGAAGATTTGGAGAAGTCAAATGCAACACTTTCACAGTCCTCCGAAGTTTGACCGTTCACCCAAATCTGAAACATCGACATCTATAAGTACTAATAATATTATAAAGAGGAATGATTTGTTTGTTCGTTTTTAATCGATAAACTTTAAAACTACTAAATCAATTTTAAGAGTTTCTATAGTGCTATAAATTTTAAATAAAACATTTTTTCGCGGATTTAATGTGATTTTTGTTTTCCGACGTTTAGCATTCGAATCATGGTCATTATCAAAATAAAACTAAATAAAAAAATACCCACATTTTCGCAATCAAAGACGTAGCTAACGGTTTTCAGGGGACATCCCACGTCTCTCAGTTCGAACCTCTCACCGGCGACTGCGTCATAAATGTACCAACTGGAGTCTTCCGATTTATTTAAGAATCCTCTACTTTTGACTTCATTGTGACACATCACTATTTTATTATTCTGGTATTTCACCAGAACATAACTGCTGAAACCTCGAGGTAATCCAAATCCTATAATAATCCAGCATCTTATACCCAAATTTAGAAAGTAACTGGCCAGTAATATTGTGTGGTCTAATGGCGATCCGTATAATACTTTAAGTAGTTCCTAAAATAATAATAATTCTTTTACAGTATAATTAGAAAATAAAGATAATATTATAATTGTATAATAATTAAAAATAAAATAAATTAGAAAATGCTAATTTGGTTAAATGGCAGAGTGCTAAATGTTAGTACTTAGTAGAAGTCAGAACACAAGAGCCGATTCATGAACCACGAACGCAGATACTTTCATCCATCCACTACAATCCGCTTCAGTTAAGCTATATTGTCATTATCATCATTATTCAACCATTTTTATCGTCCCACTGCGGAGCATGTGCCTCCTCTCAACACAAGAGGGATCCATTCATAGGAAGGTTAGAGGTCTACACATATTTTTCGAAAACTAATTAGGATTCCTCAACTCGTGTGGTAGTCATGATGCAAAAGATTCACGCTTGAGAATAACAGAGTTGCAAGACCGGGGATTTGAACCCGCTTCAATTGGTTTTCCAAGCGAAACCGAGCCACAATTTTTGCCGATCAGTATAAAACTACAATAGATAAGTGGGCTATTTTTTCAAATTTTCAATATATTCAAGAATCATTAATTACCACTCCCATTAAAGTCACGATATGGTTCTCCGAAACCTCATACGTTGGTATCAGAGACACATATCGTATCGCTGCTTCCATATTTTTAACAAACTGGTTTCCTTCATTCTTATAAACTTCAAAACCACTTAATGATTCTTCTGTAATAGAACTCTTCTTTCTACTGCTTCTCGATGACGAGCTTTTAGAATGTCCTGAACTCTTAGACACAGCAGATTCAGCTTTTCTTGGATTAATCGGAAAATATTCGTAATCAGGCAAAGGTATTGGCTGAAGGAATTCAGAAACACATTTATTTTTCCCAGAACTGTCTATGAAAGTTAAAGAAATATTCCTAGTTGGAAATTCATTAACATATCCCGACACAAGTTCGTTTAAATGCCGTATTAAATTGTCTTTAGGATCATTGGATATCGGTTGATAGTAGTTTCTAAATCCTCCAAAGTGTGAAATACTTGTGGTTATTTGAAGAACTATTAAAGGAGTATCTTTCTTGAAAAGCTGTGATACTTCGGGAATAAAAGATTGGGGTTCTTTTGGCGCTATATTTTCGTAACCAAATATTAATGGAGGTGTCGCAATTTTGAATGTACCACGGATCTGAAAAGAAATCAAAATCAATATGAATAAAATACAGCATTTCTATATAATTTATTATACAGAATATTCGTCGTAGAGAAAGGAATTAGAAAGATAAAATTCGAGCAATTTAAATAAAATTGCTTAAATTTTATCTTTAAACATAGAAAATGTATGTGAACTTAGACACAAGTCGATGTGCAACACACAAAGTTACAAGTACTGGAAGCCTGCTCAAGTGTGTCGGTGGTTGGTACCTAACAGTAACTTATTTGTTACTCCAGATCATTTGTGTACTTAATTTCGTCCAAATACGACAGGTCATTTCGACATGACAGAGTTCCAAGCATGCACACACACAATATACAAACTTTCGCGTTTATATTAGTAGTGTCAACTGTGAGAATAACTATTATCAAAATCAACTTACACTTCCCAACGTCAATACAGTATGTAGAGGCACTTTGAGTGTCCCCAACCATTTGTTACATTTCCTATAGTACACGGTACTTTGTGTGGATGGATCGTCAGAATACGATTCATTCGTATTATCCTTACATTCGTCGTAAATATTTATTTGAATAGAAGACAAAGGCTCAAATCTGAAAATACATCAATTTATCAATTTTGTTACTTAAATAACTTATAATGCAACGGACTTTATTTAGATTTAAACTCCTCTTCAATATACTTATTAAGTTATGGCCTAGGAAAATTTCGAGACTTACATTTTTTTAAATGATTTGAACTTAGAACTTGACCATATTGTAACACGTCAAATTTTAAAAATATATTACAATCGCCTGTCTTTTTAAAGTTATGATGGAAAATTCTTGGCAAATTTAAAAGAAAACAAAGATATTGTCTAATACTTAGTCTTAATTTTAACAGTATGATTCCAGGTTGGGTGACATCCGATGGCTGTAGCAGTTTGTGTGGACACGCCATGATAGCTCATACGCACAAATGGTCTTAGTGGATGTACTTTGAAACCTAAAATAATTATAATTTCTTTAATACTAAAAAAGCGAATTATTATTTTAAATTATTTAAATTAATGTATTAAATTCTTTTAGTAAACTCTGTTTTTATTTTACCAAATTTATTACCACAATTAAAAAAATTAAACTATAATACATTTGTTCATAATAAATGAAGAAATTTTATAAAGAATCGTTACCTGCTATATTTTCATCTTCACTATTTTGTTCCATCAAAAATGCTTGCGTGTTTCTATCAGATAAATTGAATGCCCTCAACACTGTTATGTGTATTTCATGTTCCTTCGACAGCTGTTGTTTCAGAAGATTCTGTTGTTTATGTGATGACGTATTTAAAGTTTCTTCGGCTCTATTTAAACAAACCCTTAAAATAATAACAGGAAAAGTTAGATATTCCATATAAAGAAAAAAATAAAATAATCCATATATAAAAATAAGATAATCCATATAAAGAAAAAAATGTTTATGTTAGAACTATTTAATTGGAAATAATTAATTAATATTTCTGATTAAAAATGATACATATTCTAATATAAATATATAATAATATTTTCTTTTCTTCTTTCTGTCTTTGACGACATGTTTGGCTCAGTTTGTAGTGACCCTACTTGCTGTGCCAGCGGTCGCGGGTTCGAGTCCCGCTGGGGGCATTCATTTGATAAGCACGAATGTTTGTACTCTAGTCATGGGTATTTATATTTATAATATGTGTGTATTTAAAGTTATATATATGGAGTGTATAAACTATCTGGTATCCATAACACGAGCTCGTAGCTTACCATGGAACTAGATGGTGCTGTGTGTTAATATCCCCAACATATTTATTTATTTAATATATAAAATAGGGGATGACGTGAAACTTAAGAGCATTTATACTCGTACATAAATAAATTAAGCGAGCGGGATCGCGGGGAAACTCTAGTATTCACTATATCACTCACCCGAAACTCACATCGGCGAAATCTCTCACTACATCTTTATATGTTTTCTTCAGAAGACACTCATTTATATTTTTCATTAAATTTCTATTTAAATTTTCCACATATTTTACTCCAATAAATCTTTGCAAATCAATTGATTCCATTTCTAGGTTATTTTTCAAATTAAGATTCTCCACGTCTTTTTGATTGCTTTTTTGTAAACAGTCTAATTGTTCCGTAGATATCTGACTAGGTAACAATGGAATAGTTTTGTTTTGTATATCAGCGAATCCGCCACTATTTCTTAAATGTAATAATTTATATCTGGCCATGTCCATATCATCTTCATTAAATTTAAAGGTCTCGTTCTTTTTGACAGTTCCTTTGCAGATATTTTTAAGCGTATTCATAACATTTTCGTTATCTTCCACTTTGTTTTCATATAAGTCATTTATTATTTCTGTTATAACATCTATATTTGGTTGGTCCTTCGAGCTCTTAAGTCGTTGCAATTGACGCCCTGTTTTCATACATGATTTTACCGATTCGAACTCGTTATTATTTAATTTTTCATTCCATCCTAATTTAATATTGACTTCACATCTAGTTACCAACTTTCCAACAAACAAATTGCTTGATTTTAATCTAGCTTTATTCTTTAAGCAAATATCTTTTATGTTGTATCCACAACCAATTTTTTTAGAAGTGGGTTCTACAACTTTATTATAATAAAATTCTTTACTTACAAAGTTTGATTCGTTAGTATTCTTTTTAATATCAGACAAATTTATAATTAAAGAAGATACATCTTCATCATTTTCAAATAAAACTATCCTTAAATTATTATTCTGCGGTAAAATCTCAATAGATAAACATTCTTCGAAATTAACATCCCATTGACCGCTTTTACTTTCATATACTTCTGATTCACACACAAAAACATCATCAACGTAAACTTTAAAAAATATATTTTTAGCTATAGAAGCTTTTCGGTGATCTTGCGAAAATAAGATAACTTTGTCTTGTTTCAAATTAATCCCGATTTTATTTTTTGGAAGAATTTCGCTCACAATATCCTCCACTTCCGTTTTCAATTCGTCATAATCTATTTTTAATTTTGGTTTAACAATTTTAATTTTTTCGTTGTGACCGTCATTATATTTAGTTTGCTTGTATTCTAAGTATTTAATTATAAATTCATGTTCAATTTTCAAAATTAAGTCAGAGTATTCTGTCTCAAAAATCTGAGACCATTGCTTCCGAAATTCTTCGTTATTAGAATCAATATGAGTCACTTCTAATACATAATTAGTAAAATAATATCCAGATTTTTCTCTGACCATCTCAATATCTGACCATAATGATATTAATTTATTGGCTAGTTCTTTTTCTATTTTTAACATTTTAAAATATTTTTCTTTAAAATTAAACATCAAATTTGTATATTTTAATATGCTGCTATCAAATCTTATATCGTCTTTTCTATTTGGGCTAATTTTAAACAATTGTTCTTTCAAATTATTTCTTGTTCTTCTATTAATCTCAACATTCTTAGATAAATCTATTAAGGTTTTTTTGACAAACTGATATTCTTCGTAAACTTCAATTAACTTTACGGAAAGTAATTCTTCTAATGAGAATTCATGATGATGTTTAAATTGTATATTTCGTAAAATGACGTCAAAAAATCGTGGGGTTTTATTTCCATCATTTTCTAGATATTCAGAAACAATTTCGTTAAATAACGAAGGCTTCATATATTGGACATGTATATTAGTTTCTTTAGTGTCAGAATTTTCTAGTACTCGAGGAAATATTGGACTGATATTTGCAGTACATTTTATGTGAAAACTGCAATACAAATAACATTAGAAAATATTTTTATAAGAATTTAAATTAATAAGCTAATTTTAATAATATTACTAAAATTAACAGGTCAAATACCTATATACAAACGGTTTTAATGTATTTTTAAATCTTTTCTTAAAATGTCGTGATTTTTTAATATCTATTGAAGTTGTTCGTATAATATTTTAATAGGATAAAAGGTTTCGAAGTTCATCATCAACATAGGATATTTCGGAGTATTGTCCTTCAAGTTAAGAGAGTAATTATGAGTATCCACATGTAATCAAGTAATACTGTAACTGTTACTGATACTGAAATGATATTCTTCTTTTCTTTCATCTTATCATCGCCAATAGATTCAGACCAAAAACTTGAAATATCGATACATCGAAAACTAAATTTAAACTTGGGCCAAGTTTTATTTTAACCCTATTTAACAATTGTGATCCGTTTAATAAAAGAACAAACAGATAGATACACAACATACTCGGGTTGTTAGAAGTTACACACGGTCAAAACATGTGCAAGTGTCGAAGCCGTAACCAATAAATAGCAAGAAATTTAAGATTTCACATAATATATTATTTTACTGACCCATGCTCGGCATCTATGTTTGTAGATCTTCTATGCAATATTCTTTGTGTACTTGGAACCTTTTTTAAATATTTGTCTACTTTGCTATTATAATCCAAAGTCGTAATATTATTTTCAATAAGGAGAGGTTTTGTAGCAATTTCAGAATTTATAACATCCATTAGATCTTTAGATTTCCCTTTCTTCTTCCCTTTTTTCTTTTTTGCTGTTTTTTGTACTTTTTTAGTATCATATTGTGTGAAAAAGTCATGTTCCGTAACCGGTGCCAGCGTTTTGTTTGGATAAGTTTTTTCTTCTATAACTTCTTGACTAATTTCATGGTATACTTCAGAATCAGTTTCCTTAAAATTATCAGTTTCAAGGTTTTGTAACTCTATTTCATCATTCATATTTGCTTTTTTTATATTTATAAATTACATTTAATACATGTTTTTGTTGTTAGTATAAAATACTGTTGTTGTTTTCTATAAGTTGCCATGGTGATTTAATATCAGGATTTATTGATTTAAATAATATTTTTACTGTAATAATTCACATTATATTATAACTATAGTTATTATAGTTATAATATAAATAATTTGTTCATAAACTCTTCGTATTGATTTATATTTTGATAGCAGGACCCAACGTGCATCTTTTCACATCATTGTGAGATATGCGGCATAATGCTAACTTCGAATGTTTTAACTACAGCTACGCTCTGCACAATCAAGCATTTTTAAAAGTACTGTTTTGGAATTTGGTGTAATGTGCGCAAGGATACCAACTCATTAGCAGGAAATATAAGAAGTATTTTTTCTTCAAGGTGCCATTGATCAAAATTCTATTTACATTATCGTTAGTACTATTTGTTTATATTATTATATATTTATTAGTTAGATATATATAACTAATTAATATATATTTATTAGTTAGTTATATATATTTTTTCAACATTAAACTTGAAAACTAATTCACGTTCCAATTAAGCATTATCACACCTCGGCATTGTGCGCCAAAGTGCGACATTATGCTCTGTAATTGGAAAACAGGGTTATTGAATCTAATTTATCTTTACATAGTCTGTAACTGTAAACTACTTTAGAGACTCTGTGCCATCAGCTGTCGACGTCACAAAAGTCATAATAAAAATAAATGAAAAACAGTACTGCTACTGCGCATTTAGATCACTGTTTTAAATTATAAACATGGCTAAATTTTCGTTAAAAGATAGTGATAAGTATTATTTATGTCTTTCAGAACAGCCCAAAAGGTTTGATGCTGATAGCCCTGTAACCAACGTGTTTTTTGACGACACCAATGGTGAGGTACATATATTTTAATTTAATTCAGTTTATTTATTGCAAAATAACATAGTTTTCCTATACCTATGCTGAATGCTGTTATCATTAAAGTAATACATATATATTTTAAATGTATATTTCCAGGTTTTTACTGTTCGCTCAGGAGGTGTCACAGGTGTTACAGTAAATGGAATGGATTCAAAAAGTACTTCATTTAGAATGGAGGACAAAGGACCAATTATTTCTATTAAATTTTCACCAGATCACAAAATTCTCGCCATTCAAAGAAATTTAGACGGTCAAAATGCAACTGTTGAATTTGCCAATTTCAAAGATTTGGCACCTACTAATGTTGAATATTCTCATACGTGTAAGTGGAAAAATGCTAAGATGTTGGGTTTTGTGTGGCCAAGAGCTAATGAGATTGCTTTTATAACTGACCATGGTATAGAGTTACTGCAAGTCATACCTGAGAAGAGGCAAATGAAAACTTTAAAGAGTACTTCTTTTAGGTACTGTGAGTGAAAATGAGTTATTCATTGATGTTATCCAGCCTGGGTGGAGAAGTAGATATAAAGTTTGTGTTTTTAATATTTCAGTGGCGCCTGGTTCTCTTGGTGTGCACAAAGTAATATTATTTTACTAGCAGGAAATAATGGAGCTTTACTTCAACCATTCTCTTTAAATAATTCAACAATAACTAAACTGCAGAAATTGGAAGGTATGGTGTTATTAACATTCTAAATTTTATGTGTTTTGTACATTATTTAAATAAAAAAATAGTAATTAAATCAGTCAGTAGATATGTTACCTACTACTTTTATGTTTTATATTTGTGAGTATTTAATCCACTACATCTACACAGATAAATAAAATTGAATTGTCTGTTTGTAATGTCAAAATAACAGTTTTTTACTAAATTTATAAGGAATTATATACAGTACTTATAAGAAAAACACAATTTTTATAATTTTTGTCTGTCTGTTCTGGCTAATCTCCGAAAGGGCTGGGCTGAATTTGACAGGATTTTGCTGGCAGATAGCTGATGTTATAAGGAGTAACTTAGGCTACTTTTATTTTAGAAAAACTATTAGGGTTCCACTCAAAACTATGAAAATGGGAGTAAATTGTTTAATTCCAATTTGTTTACTGTATGCGTTCTAAACTTTTCCAGTGGAATGGTCAAAGCCAGTAGTGGAGCGTGATGTGTTTGTACTAAGATTGTGTGGTGCTGCCTGGTGTGCCTTGTTTCGACATAGTACTTCACCTATTAATGGACCTACTGAAGTAAATAAACTTAAAAACAATATTGTTTTAACTTAATCATGAAATATTTAAAAAAAAATTATTTTAAAGATTCAACTTTGTCATTAGAAAACTTTTTTTTATACAATTGGTCCTTTTTTATTTATAATGTATGTTTATTATTATATTTTAGGTATGGCTGATGCCGATAGCGGGGGGAGGAGTAACACAGCATGTTCTCAAGACAGGCCTTGTTGGTCGCTTTGCTGTCAGTGTAATAGATGATCTTCTTGTTATACATCACCAAGTAAGTTACAAAAATACACCATAACTGTTATAAGTGGGAAAGTATGTATATGTGTATATATGTATTTATTTATTTAATAAAGTTTGCTAGTTGTTAGGGAATGTACCCTGTACCCATATTAAGTGACTATTTTTTAGAATTTTTACATACCTTTATTTTAATTACTATTTATTATCTTTTCCAGTCTAGTCAAACTTCACAAATATTTGACATTATGGAGGAATCCAAGCCTGAGAACAATATTGTTATTCATTTACCAATAGTGCAAGGGATATCTATGAAACCGGCTACTGTTGATGATCAACTTTGCCCTATGTGTATCCTTTTAAAAAATATTAATAATTATGTATTATAATTTTGAAAAATTAAAAAGACTGAGACACACATATTCTTCTTCTACACTTTGAAAAAATTGTAATGAATAAGAATACATAATATGTATTCTGTATTTATTTATTATTTATTATTTATTTTATTATTTATTTTTCTGTATTTTTAATTTCAAAACAAATCAAATGAACTCAAAGCTTCTGCTTGTAGCTATTGAAGAGTTTCATCACCCACCTCCTAGCTCCATCTTCAGATCAGCTCTATGGTATCAAATAATTGTATTCTCATCCAGACTTTATATACTTACAAAGTTTCAAATTGAATTGATTCCTTAGATTTAATTAAGTAGTTAGATAGTTACTAGTGAAACTAAAAAAAGTCCAAAACCTCGGAGTTCATGTTTCTTAAAACTGATACATAATTGAAAATGACATAAGAATAGTGGAGATTCTGTAATTTTATTTAAATTTATTGCTTATGAAGCCTAGCATTTCTATTACATTTCCTTTCTATTATTTGCAAATTCACTAAAAAGTATACATTCAACATTTATTGTGGACTATTCTTTAAAAAAAAACATTAAAATGGATTCAGAATTGGCATATACATATGTAACTTAATATATAAATAAAAGAGATGCAGCCAAAATTAGCATTTCCTTTTTTTAAATTGGTCTAAATTGATTTTTTCCTGACAATTTCCTATATAATAAATTAGACTCAGGTAACTGGGTGGTGTTCCAACCAGACTACATAATAGATGCGCGTCTCGGCTGCCTGTGGAAAGTGAATCTCATATTGTCTGGTTTGGCACATTCGGTAATGAAAATTTTAAATATATTTCTATTAGTCCTCAGCAGGTTTTGGTCCATCATGCAGTTAGCAGGCATGCATATCCCAGAACTAACAACTAAAGTCACTATTTAGTCTTTATTAACTTGATTTTGCATCATAATCAACATGATTAGTAATAACTGCTTACCAGTGAAGGAAAACATTGTGAGGATACCTGAATGTCTGAGAGAACCTAGCAAGTTTTCAAAAAACACGCTTAGTCCGCCAACCCGCACTTGGCTAGCGTGGTGGACTATGCCCTCCTTAGTATATAACGAAGGGCAACAAATATTATATTAATTCATTTTTTTATGAAATTTACAATATCTATACAGATAAATAAAATTGAAGTGTCTGTCTATTTGTAATGTCAAAGTAATAAATAGCTTTTTACTAGATGCATACGAATTAATTATATATGATACCTACTTATAAGAAAAATACATTTTTTTGTGTCTTTCTGTCTCTCTGTTTGTTTGTTCTGGCTAACCTCTGAAATGGATGGACTGATTTTAATTTTATATAATATTTATTAGGTATACTTTTATAGAAAAAACCGTTTCTTTTTTAGGTGCCTAAAGATGAAGTATCCAAAATAATAGCAGTGTTGCTAAGACGAAATAATAGTAAAGAAACTATATACAGAATAATGAGCCAACTGGTGGCAGATGCTGGGAACTACTTGGTGCAGCTCATCAAGTCGTTTGATGAAATCAACTCAGTATACAGGTATGTACAATTTAAAATATTAAAGGGAAAGAAAAAAATTCGCTATATAATACTAAATATTAAATAATCTTTGCATGAATAAGCTGTGACACGCAGACGGACCAATGTGACAAGGTGAACCCTAAAAAATATAAAAATTCCTGCAAAAGTCGATGGATTTGGGAGAGTAACATATGGGCATCAATAATCAGCATTGCCAATTGGCGAGTAAATTACCCGAATAGCGGATAATTTTAGGCGATTTTGATAGTGGGTAATTTTTACGGGTACTTCATTGAGCGGGGTCTAAGTAGGTATTTTAGTTCAGCTGATTAATTTGATATTTCAACTTTTTTTTATGTTTGATTTAATAATTTAAATCTCTTTAATTAATAACTGATTACCATGCCTTTTTTTTCTAACATTAGTACATTTTTTTTTATTCTTTATAAAACATGAATAAAGTACTTAAAAAAAAATATTTTCGGGTATTCTGCTCGTGCTTGTCGCCGGCGGGATATACCGGGTATTTTGAGGTTTATTGGTCGGGTACAACAACGATTGTTACCTGGCAGAGTTGCCAATAATACAAGTGTGTATGTCCCACAGGAGGTGGGCGGACATGGAGGTGGCGCGCAACACGGCGGGCGCGGGGGGCGCGGGCGCGGCGGCGGGCGCGCACTTCCCCGCGCTGGTGTCGCAGGCGGACGTGTGCGCGCACGTGCTGCACGCGCACGACACCGACTACCTCGTGCAGGTCAGTGGACCAAGTTAGTGTGGTAGTGGCGTTCAATATGTACCTCAAAATACAACTATTGACCTAATTTTAATTGAGTTACTTCATGATTTAAGGATTTATTCATGATTATGTAAGTTTGCGTCTCTTGCATATATTATAATATTCTTTATTGCATTAAACAAGTAATAAAAAAAATACATAGGAAATGACGTGAACAAAGGTGGACTATTATGTGACTTTGTAAAAATTATATGAATAAATTATTACCTACCCTACCCCAGCCTGCAAATTTATGATATTTGCAATGAAAAAAATACTAATCGATAGATTTTCAATAGCTCAATTTAACTACGTAGCCCTTTCAAATTGCTCACCTTTAATTATTTAATTAAAAATCAATAAAGTCTTTGAAAAAAATTAATTTATCTGTATATTCAAACTCCTATATCTTTTAATGTATACAATATTTCAAATTGCTCAAAGTTCTAAAACACTGCTGAAGTTGCATTTGTAATTGCTCAAGTAGAGTTTTTACCAGCTCCACTTTCGCTGATTATTAAATAAGTACCTGGGCGACCGAGCTTTGCTCGGAGTTTTTGGCCAAAAAAAAAACATTAAAAAACAACAAACAAAGAATTTGAATAAATACAAAAAAAACAAAATTAAAACTTTGTGTCCGACCGGGATACGAACCCAGATACCTGTGGTTATCGTACTTGCGCATTGACCGCTTGACCATGATGCTTATATCTGAGCGTGCGAAATTATCGAACATAATATTTTGCGTGGAATTATTAATTATTAATTTATTGAAATAATGCAAAAGAAATCATAATAATAATAAAGCTCTATTTATTTATTCATTTATTTATTATAAAGGCTTACTAACTAAATTTACATAAAAACATTTATTTAACATTATAATTTTACCTATTTGTATATAAATTTAATTTAAAAGTATGCACAGCTTTTTATAAAAGTATTCCATTAAAATTTTATTTGGTTTAGAGTATATAAGGAGCCATTTTAGTTGTACAATAAAAAAAATGTCTATATCACATTGCTGAAATATAAAATTATATAATTTAGTGACTATTTATTAACTTATAATTTTTTAACTAATAATTTTGTAATCTGGAATTAAATTATTTTAAAAATCTTCATATTATTTGAAATGATATTGTATATATATAAATTATCATTAACAAATAAATAAATAAACAATCACAATAAATTAAACAATTCAATTGAGTAAATACTAAACATTTCACAATAATAAATATAAATAAAATTTTCTTTCCATACATTAATTCTGACAATAGTTATAAATTAGGTATTTAATTTCATAATTAAATGTATTTATTTAGTAAATGTCTTTTTCATGTATAGACCCCTCTCGGTTAAAAGCCTCCTCCAAAGTAGTCCTGCATAGAGCTCTCCGTTGGAGATTATGCTTGTATGATTGCAAAGGGTTTCTTTTTCAAAATTTGTTTCCATATATAATTTGTTTCTGATATGCCTATCAAGTTTATAATTTTACCTTTGTGTTTCTTTTGATTTGTTGTAGGAAATACTGCTTTTAATTCTAGAAGTTTTTCTGGTGAAGATATGTATACCTTTGTCATTGTATGTCTGTTTTTCTTTGGAGGGTTATGGTCGAACTCCCCACAATGACCGGCCATACTGGGCGATAAAGATGAGGAGGTTCCTACTGTGTTTAATAAACTGTATCTTGCAGTGTTGTTTTTAGTTGTTCCTGGTTATCATTTTTGTGGTTGAAAGTTAATTTTGGATTTTGTAATATAAGTATTTAATATTACCAGGTATGGTTTTCTTTGTATGTTGTTTATTTGTTAGTTTTTGTTTATAATTGAGGTAAGGCGTTTTTGGAGATACAGGCAGACTTCTTTTTTATTTCCGTTTAGTTTAAGACTATTTTTTCCTCTAGTTCATGATAGGAGTTCATGAAAGTTCTTGCGCCTAATATGTCTTTCTAAATTATTTATTGAGGTACTTTGTTCCTGGTTTTTTTCTCAAGAACTTTCATTTTTATTTCTAACTGTTTAAATTTTTCATTTAAGTACCTATATTATTGTTGATTGTATTTTTAATGTCTTCTTTCATTTCTAACATTTCTGTTTTCTGCTGTCTTATTTCTTGTTGCATGTTTATTAGCAACTTTTTTATGTCCTCCATCTTATGTGTGAAGTTGGAAGTAGAAAAGCTGATTGAAAAAAGCACCAATTATACCAAGTTGAATTGCAATTTTATACCGAGTATTAGTTTTTGAGGTTATAAACTTATGTTTTAATATTTGACGCTTTCACTTCACAATTATTTTGTTTTATTGTCATCACACACAGAAAAGATGGTTTTGCACTAATAGTATCTTTAAGTTATGTTTGTCACTTTTATATTTGTTTTGGTAGGTGAATTTTTAAAAGCTCATTTGTTCTTCAACACATCAAGACTTGGTGATGTTTACTTATTGCCCCATAGGTTTTTATTTAAAAATTTATTTTTATTATTTAAATTTATATTTATTCTTTAGATTATTTTCACTTAAATATATTTAAACTTGATGTAAATACGGACACGATGTTGACAGTTGCACAGTGGAGCCGCCCACTCACCAGAAGTGACAATGCAAAAATTGTGAAAATGCAAAAGAAAATCGCATGAAAATTCGAAAATTCGCGTTTTTCCAGATTTATGACTAATCTAGATCGATTTATCGCCCCCGAAACCCCTTGCATGCTAAATTTCATGAAAATCGTTGGAGCCGTTTCCGAGATTCAAATTATATATTGATATATATATATATATACAAGAATAGCTCGTTTAAATATATAAGATTAAAAGTATAGTTGTAATAAATGTAACGTAGGTTAAGTGAGCGTGCGCATGCGCACCGCGCATTGTCGGTCGGCCTCGGCGGGCTTGGACAATCGTTCCAATTCAACGTCTTAATTCTGTTTCTCGGTGGATTTCTTATGTAAATATAAAACATTAATAAAGTATAAAATCATATTTACATTGTTGAGTTCATTTTCACCTTGATACACCTACTTATAGTTATTGACTAGCAGATTTATGTATATTTTAGCTATATTTATTCTAGCATTTTTTAGTTTTAGTCAAAAAGTGAAAAATATCCAGCAAACATAATGAGCATGTATACTACTACTTATTTTGTTTTGGAGCAAAGAAGAATATATAGAAAATACTTTGTAAACAGACATAAAGTTACAAAATAAAGTTACCTTTTAGTCATGATTTGATTTTTGTATAAATTGAACATAATGAATAAGTCAATAAATAATAAAAATACCTGATAATAGATGATGTTGTGCTTGGAGTATTACAGTTTCATTTCACTATGATGAGGTTATGAAACACTTGATTTTTTTGCCTTGCGACTCGCGTTACTGTTTGCGCGCATGCGCAGCACTCACCTATCTATACGTTAAATTTATTCAAACTATTTATATTTATTTAATAATTAAGGAAAGTGGAGCTGGTGAGAACTCTACTTGAGCAATTACAAATGCAACTTGAGCAGTATTTTAGAACTTTGAGCAATTTAAAATATTGTATATATCAAAAGATATAGAAATTTGAATATACGGATAAATGATTTTTTTTTCAAGGACTTTATTGATTTTTAATTTTATAATTAATGGGGAGCAATTTGGAAGAGCTACGTAGTTGAATTGAGCTATTAAAAATCTATCGATTAGTATTTTTTTCATTGCGAATATCATAAATTTGCAGGCTGGGGTAGGGTACCTTAAATTATTGTTATTTTCTTATTTGACGGATTCGGATTTCACGGGTTCGGAGAAGACCGTTCTTTTGGAAGGCATGTGTGGGAACACAGGTCCATCACATAGAGGGCCCCTTAGAAGTTTACTTAATATGATGCGTCAGCCAGAATTTTCCGGATAATGCTTTTTTTATTTTATTTGTCCCTATGGACTATAGAAAATATGGAAAACTAAAAGATTCTATTAAATGGAATTTGGATGGGCTACAAAACTGGGCTATTGTATGATAGTTGATACTTCCGGATGAAGTGGAGTACACAGCATACGTAACATAGATTATGACATAGTTGGTTAATTAGTTCATCGCACATGCGTACATTTATTTATATATATCGGTGATCTCAGAAACGGCTCTGACGATTTCGCTGAAATTTGTTATGTGGGGTTTTTCAGGGGCGAAAAACGATCTAGATTAGTCACAAGTTTGAGAAAACGCGTGTTTTCAAGTTTTCATGCGGTTGTCTTTCGCATTATTCCACGCAAAATATGGTTGCTAATTTGGCATAAGTATCGTAGTAGCCACGGCGCAAGATTGACAATCACAGGTGTCCGGTTACGAATTCCAATCGGATACAAAATTTTTACTTTTGTTTGTTATGTATTTATTCAAGTAGTATTTTTTAGCCAAATTAAAAAGAAAATTGTACTTTTGGCTAAAAACTCTCGAGTGAACCTCGGTCGCCCAGGTGCTAATGTATTTAGGACAGTCTTAGAGTACAATAAATAAAAATGTTATCCACAGCGGTTGTGTTTCTCTTAAATATCCCCGCACCCCTCACACCTCATGGCGTCCAGAACACGTTATGACTTTAACTTGTGAAGTGAATTAACTTCAACTTTTAACTCTATATCAAAGTAAAAAAACCTGTAAACGACCTGATATAAACTGATAGATGGGGAAATGATACTCAAAAACGGAAGACAAGGAAAAATGCAGCCGGCAGCAACGGTGCTGGAATTTCAAATACGGATATAGAGACCCATATCCTGACCAAGAACATCCAGATCACAGTGGTCTTGGCGATATTCGTTGCTGCTACAATATACTTGGAGTATAAAATTTGGAGAAAAAAAGAAAATGGCTGGAAAAGACGATGAAGACAGAGTTTATTAGGAGACTTCGACAAAGGCTTTCCGGAAGGTTCTCGATGCTGCTGTGAGTGATGATGCCTAATGACGTAAGGACGTGGTTCGCATACTTAGTGCTGGGCGTACTTATTTGATATATTGTTTCGCCCGCCTTCTCAACAGTCTCATATTAAATATTTGGCGGACTATGACTCGCTTCCCACTAAATGGGTCCCCACAAAGCGCCATAATGCCAAGCGTCAACATCGGTTTGGTCGGCTAAATTATTATTATAATTTCTTTCTTTATTATTATAATTACTGCCTCGGTGGTGTAGTGGCTAGCATGTACGGCTGCACACTCGGAGGTCCTGGGTTCGAGTCCCGGGTCGGGCCTAGTTTAGTTATTGAGTCTTTCTGTATAGAGTTGGGAAGTTGGCGGTGTTTCACCTTCGTGCATCGGAGAGCACGTAAAGCTGTCGGTCCTGCGCCTTGGTCGTGTCGAGCAGTCGTCCCACCGGAGTATGAAAGTGACAGGAATAGAGAGTGCACTTGTGTCTGCGCATACACTTGTGCACTATATCTCCTGCGCAGTTGATTGGCCAATGAGATTGGCCGCCGTAGCCGGAATCGGCTAAGAGAACATCATAATTTCTTCCATGAATAAAAATATTTTTAATGGTAACTGTTAATACATATGTCTAGTTGTATATAGGAATTATAGAGTAATCATAAATAAAAACCGATGCAACGGAAACTGGTAGTCATTTTGTTTTGCTGGGTTTCTGGGATGTCATGATTTCATTCGTTATCAGTAATAAAATCCATGACATTGTTTTTATAGATTGACGTACAGATCTACCTGTCTTTGCACACAGTGGCAAAGTTGGTCGTGCTGGTATATTTAGTATGAGGGGCGGTAGTGCAGGTGGTGACGGGGTACCTGGCGTCGCTGGCGCGCCACGACATGGTGGTGCAGCACGCGGTGGCGGAGCTGGCGGTGCGCGCGCTGGTGACGCGCGGCGCGGGCGCGCGGCTGCGCGCGCTGGTGCGGCGCGGCGCGCTAGGCGACGCGCGCCCGCTGGCCTGCCAGCTGCTCAGCCTCGGCCACCTCGACCCCGCCGCCGCGCAGCTCGCGCTCGACATGATGTGGCGGCTCAAGGCTTTTGGCGTGAGTCACACTGTCACAGATGCTGCTTATATTCGTAATAAATACGTCTTTACGTGGCTAATGATAGTTTATATGCAACTAAATATGTCATAAATCCGTCCATCTATTTTAGTGTACATATAAAAATATACATAATTTTTTTTGCATTTATAACAGAAGTCCGATGTATGACAATTTCCTTCTAAAGTCTCACTAATAAGTTGTGCAAAATAAGCCTGCCTAGATACTTTCATTAGATAGTCATATGGATTAGTAGACTGAGTATTCCTTAAATATTTCTTTTCATAACTTTTTATAAAAAGCATAAAGAAACAAAAGTATACATCAAAACGTTACAGGACATAGTGGAGGTGCTGCTGAGCTGGGAGGAGCCGGTGGGCGCGCTGGGCGCGGCGCGCGCGGTGGGCGCGGGCGCGGGGCCGGCGCCGCGCAAGCTGCTGGCGGCGGCGCGCGCGTCGCCCGCCGCCTTCGTGGCCGTGTACCACGCGCTGGTGGCGCGCAACGAGCGCTTGCGGGGCAGCCCGCACTTCCTTAAAGGTGAGTCATTATCATATACATCCTACTTACGTCCACTGCTGGACATAAGCCTCTCCTATTATACACACATACATACATACATACATACATACATACACATATACACACACATACATACATAATACATACATACATACATAAATGTAGATCAGATGAAAAAGAATAATATTTAAAATATAAATAGTTCATCAAATTTTGAAAGTGAATGTTTTTCTGCATCTTACCGACGCGCAGTTTTACCTGTTTAGTTAAATTTTAACGTATATAAGAAAAAAATCTGTTGATATAGGTACCTACATATATGTTACTTTTTTACGTTGTACCGGCTTAATGAATTGGAATGCATTTCAGAATGGAGATAATTTATATCCTGAGACCTAGATAATTACTACTTACTTTTGCCTATTTAGTTTTTTAATCTAAACCTCAAGCATAAACTTATTACGTAAATATTAATTTGACAATAATTTTTAAATGGTACATTGGAATCTTTATCACTGGTTTTTTTAGGGGTTATCTTATTGAAACATACTTATTATAATAATGCTGTAAATTTTGGCTTGTGACGTAACTTTGATATCTGCTAAGTACATAATAACTAAATCTTAATATTTTGGCTTTAACAGGGAAAAATCATTTAGAGACTTCTATCTTTTTCCAATTTCCGAAAATTCATCCACGGTGGTGAAGTGATGACTGGCGTTTATAACTGCTGGTACGATGCTTGTACATATCAAAACTGTATTAGCCGTTTATCACTGCCCCTAAATTTGGAAGTTGGAACTCAGAACTTCCAGATCTAGAGGTACTGGGTTCGGATCGTGGGTCTGGCCAAGTCTAATTATTAGGTTTTTTGTTTAAAAATTCTCAGTAACAACGCGGATTTAGTAGGAATTTTACGGTGTTCCACCCCCATGTCTCATCATATCCCATCATAAAGTAATCAGTCCTCTTTATCTCTCTATATCAGCTATTTATTATTATTATTTTTTTTGCTTTGTTAAACAGCGTCCCGTACAACCAAGATTTTTAGTTAACATCATCCCTAAAGATATTTCTTTTTTTTTCTTTATATCATCATTTTTTTTAAATATAACTACTTCAATAAGTTATCACCTGACCCGTAAATCAAGTACCATGCACACGCGATATTACTGTTGATAACTTCGCAGAGGTTATAGTGGCCATCTATTATCTTTGTTATGTAATAAAAAGTCAGTTTGCAAATTGCAACTCTAATGATATTCACTTTAGATTTATTTTAATGCCTAGGTCTGTCTATTTATCTAGACTACGAAAAGTTTGAACGATTTTGATATAACTTTCTAGAAGAACGAAGGAATGAACCTAATAGAACATGTACTTACACCCATCGATCAAAAAAGTACTAGATACACAATCTCATGCAAAAGTTCTCTTAAAATTGTCACCAGGTAATTATTAAAACAAAATAAATTGAATGTTCAATGCAATGCTTAAAGTTGTTTTTATTGTTTTCAAAATTAAAAGCGCGCTCAAATGACCAATTGAGCGCTCAGTCGGTGAGAACATTTTATGTCGCTGACTGTGTATCTAATACACCACAATAAAACAATTAATAGTAATAGATATTGTATAACATTCACAAACACTAAACCCGAATTGTGAACCTCCTCCTTTTTTTAAATGAATGAAATGAAAGTTTATTCGGATAGACTTATTATAAGCACTTTTTATTCGTTAATTTAATTTAACTTAACGGTCAGTGTAGTCAGTCCGTGAGGAAGCTACCACCGGCTCGGAAAGCAGTTCTGCTGAAAAGAGCCCAAGAGAAATTCAACAGTTGCTCTTTTAAATATCGAAGTAACATTGATAAACACAATATTATGTAATATATGCCCACATATGAGTCAATATAATATATTAATTCCACACATTTCCATCAACAAGAAACTTCTTGATTTTCTTATATTCTGCAAAGTGTAAGATTTCTTTAGATTTTTTTTATATATGTACGGTTATTTGGTATAGGCGATATAAAATGAAAGTAATGTGTAGGCCTAACGCTTAACCTCTTTTTTAGAAGTTTGTTAAAAATTATGAAAACTCGCTAGCGAAGGTTTGAAAGATCTGACAGTGCTTTGTTACTTACTGGCGTCTAATCCATTCAATAATGTCAATGTAAATAGATTCAAACTCTTTAACTGGTAGGTCAAATCTATGAATGGACAGTTTACATTACAAAGGTGTGTCTCTTGTTCAGGTGAGCAATGCGACGCGTACGTGGAGTACTATAAACAGCTGACAGCGGACTCGTAACCTCGTGGGCCAAGGTTCTGCTCCTGACTGAAGACTGTGATCGGTTATATGTATGTAATAATAACTAATGAGTAAAATTATTGTACAATTGTAAAAAGAAATTATGACTTGTGTACCTTTTTTAGATATAATTATGTAAGATGTAGAAGTATATATGACTCAATAATTTCTACATTACAATATAATTGCTACATTTTTGTCACATAATGAGCAAAAACAAAGCTTGATGGACGAATTCGTTGTTTTGAGACAATTTTGATCTTTCTTATGCAAGCAGTTATATTTCAGCCAATTTACACAAAACCTTAATGAATTATACATCTAAACCTTCCTCATGAATCACTCCGTCTATTAGTGAAAACCGTACGAAAGTCTGTTCGGTAGTTTTTGAGTTTATCGCGTTCAGACAGACAGACAGACGCGGTAGGGAACTTTGTTTTATAATATACAAAACAATACAAAAATGATATAAACATTTGCTTCGTTTAACACATAATCTCTAGACAAGAAAATCTCATAAATTGTGCAGGAACACAGGTAGTGGATGGTTTTCAATATATTGGGTACATAAATATACTCATACATAAGTTATTATGACATAACTCGCAAGCTAATTTGCAAACTAAATAACATGTATGTATGAATGTAATATGATGAAAATTCAAGTCATTGTGATATTGAGTCATTTGATTTTGAACTTTGAAATGTAGTAGTTAAATTGAAATGTTCATTGATATTAAATTAAAAATTAAATTACTACTAATAAAATATACTTTTATACATATTAACAGAATTACAATTTCTTTATATTTTAAAAATATACTCATATAATAATTCAAATCTATATTTATATATAATAACTAGCATTGCCCGCGGCTCCGCCCGCGTTCAGATGACCAAAAACCAAATTCTAAGGTTTTACATATTAGTATACACTTACATTGCAGTTTTTGTATTTTGTCTTAGAAATGAGACATTTTCCCGCGGTAATAAGTTTCCTATATGTCGTATAACCAGCTATCACCATACCAAATTTCACCAAAATCCCTCCAGTAGTTTTTCTGTGATGCGGTAACAGACATACAGATAGACAAAAATTCTAAAAACTAAAGATTCGGCCTCTGTATCGATAATAATGTTTATTTCAATAAAATTTTCCAAAAAATATTTAATGTACAGATTCGGCTTAGTTACAATTTTATTACCTATATGTATAGATATAATTCAAATCAAGCTAAATAGTAGGTATGTATGTGTTCAGCCCTTTTTAACGTCCCACTGCTGGACACGGGCCTCCCTTCAATACGAGGGGGATCAGGCCATAGTCCACCACGCTGGCCAAGCTAAATAGTATTAAACAGGAATAAAGTATTATGCTGTCAGAGATATACATACATATGTACATATGTGCATACATCTAGCAGTGTATGTCTCCGACTGCATAATACCTTATCCTTCACCAACTTATTTTCATGTTTTTAGTTACTTTTTGCAGTCGGGTGTTTTTATTTTATAAGTACTTATGTCTGCTGGTTTTCATGAGAAAATTGTGATATATCGATTTTAATATAATTGTTCGATGCCATAGTTGTAGTATTTCATAATGGATTGCAGTTAAAAGATACAGGAAGAGTCTTCTGTATTTGTTAATAATTTGTATAACAATAAAAAATTCTCTGAATAGTTCTGCAGTTGAACTATTTTGAATAAAATATATTCTATGACTATACCTACCTATGTTGTTTTATTTATATCATTGATAAAAAGGTATGTACAATACCTATGCATTTTATTTTTTTATGTTTTAACGTTTAGTATAGATTTCTCAGACATGAGATATTTCCCGCAGTAAAAAGTATCCTACATGTTGACCCAGATAACCAGCTATTGTTACACAAATTTCATCAAAATCCCTCAGTGGTTTTTCTGTGATGCGATAACAGACAGACAAAAAGATTTGGCAAAAACTAAAAATTATATTTAGTTATGAAACTACAGATAGTTGTCTCAAGGCCACCATAAATTATTTCCATAGGCCAAATTCAACAATGACATGAGAACGTTAGAAATTCAATGTCTTTTTATAATAGTAATCATATTTAGCCAATATATTCATAAGTAATAAGAAACTGTCTGCATATAATAATATGCTTATAGATATTTAATTTATTTAATTGTCAAATCAAAGGTACTGTAATATAGGTACTAAATTCACCAGAGCAATCATAATACCTGATTTTAAAAGTTTATACAGATGAATAAATTAAAAAATAAGTGTGTGAAAAATGTATTTTATTTAGTTTTACAGTCAAGTTATATAAAAACCAGTTTCAAAAACTGTTAAATTTTATAAATGCATAAATAGTAACATAAATAGAACACCAATATTTTCAGTATGTTGAGGTTAATTTAGAATTCAACAACAGCACGAATTGATTTGCCAATATGCATGAGATGGAAAGCTTCATTGATCTCGGTTAAAGAAACTTTATGTGTAACAAATTCATCCAAAGGTAACTTATTACTTAGGTAATCTTCAACCAATTTTGGTACATTATCTCTACTCTTGTAGCCACCGAAAGCTGTTCCTTTCCAAACCCTGCCAGTAACCAGCTGGAAAGGCCGAGTGCTGATTTCTTCACCAGCACCAGCCACTCCAATGATAACAGATTCACCCCAACCTTTATGGCAGGCCTCTAAAGCAGCTCTCATTGTGTTGACATTTCCAATACATTCAAAGGTGTAATCCAAACCACCATCTGTTAAATCAACTAGCACTTGCTGGATCGGTTTATCATAATCCTTGGGATTCACAAACTCATTAACTCCAAATTTCTTAGCAACTTCAAATTTGTCAGGATTGATATCTACTCCAATGATACGTTTAGCGCCGGCTACTTTGCATCCTAAAGCCACAGCTAAACCTACAGCTCCTAGACCAAATATAGCACAACTGGAGCCAGATTCCACTTTAGCCGTATTTAAAGCAGCTCCATAACCTGTTGTGACTCCGCATCCAAGCAAGCATACCTTATCGAGCGGTGCGACATCATTAATTTTACATAATGAAATTTCTAGGACAACAGTATATTCACTGAATGTGGAACAACCCATAAAATGGAACAATTCCTTGCCTTTGCAACGGAAACGTCTGGTGCCATCGGGCATCACACCCTGACCTTGAGTGACGCGCACTTTTTGACATAGGTTAGTTTTAGGATTGAGACAGAATTTACAAGTTTTGCACTGGGGTACATACAAAGGCAAAACATGGTCACCTGGCTTCACGGAAGTGACACCTTCTCCGACACTTTCAACGATACCACCGCCCTCGTGACCTAAAATCACTGGAAACACACCCTCCGGATCCTTTCCAGATAGCGTATAAGCATCAGTGTGACAGACACCAGTCGCGAGTATTTTCACACGTACTTCTCCGGCTTTGGGTGGGTCTACTTCGACTTCCTCAATGGATAAAGGCTTTCCAGCTTCCCAGGCAACTGCCGCTTTACACTTAATCACTTTACCGGTCGTTGCCATTATATTTCGTGTCGCACGCCCGTATCAAATGACTGAGCAATATAAAATGGACTTGATATTTGATAATTGATTGGAAGTTGGAACTTTTCGCGATACAAGATTATTTAATTTCAAATAATAATAAAAATGAAACAACGATATCAGCATATATTACATCATATAGCTTTATCCTCTATCTTCCATATGAGGAAAAGGGACAAAGCTAAAAAAAAAGTATCGCTTGTAAACTTGACCTTGAATATTTTCAGAAGTCGCACCACAGGGGCCCCAATTTTGACGTATTGCTTATAGTTGCAGAGTGAGAGCTTCGAGATGTATTTTAGGAACCATTTAAGCTGTTGCTGCCGACATTGGATTTTCTTTTCAAGTTTAATGGTTCAATATCTTTATTTAATACTTTCTTAGATTTACGCGAATACTTGACATTTTAAATAAAACTATCTTTTCGGATTTTTTCGCGAATTTATTTTGATTTTTGGTTCCCGACGTTTCGATTATATGGCTTAATTAATTAATACTATATTTTATATTTTTCTTTATGGTTAATATAATAATGGCAACACTAAATGTAGAGACTACACTAAGCGACCAAGTGTAACTAATTCGTAATTCATTCGTATGAGTCGAATGATTTATACAATTGAATAATTCGACTGGAATCATTCATAGTCACGCCTCGCTAATTTCAGTGGCATTTTTACAATCAATTCAATTTTATGTTTTTTTTTTCTTTATGGATTTTTCTTGTTACGTATATTATTTTTCGCTCAACACTCACTAGCCACACACGTCAAAGTCAAACCACTTGTCAAATACACGTCGGTGTGTCGCTAAAGGTTATGTTTTTATGTTTAAATTAAAGAAATAATGGCGAAACTACATAATTATTATGTTCTGTGTCCACTTATTGATCAACACAGTTTCCTGGGAGTGTCCCAAGATAGAGAACAAGAAAACGTTATAGTTACTTTAGGCCGTAATGTTGTAAATAAATACAGAGTAAGTCATGCTTAATCAAACATTTCTAATATATTCTTTCGAGAAGTTCAAATTTAGAATTTTATAAGCCTTTTAACTTCAGCTTTCAGACCAAAAGCAGATTGGTGGATGGACTTCGAAAGACCACCTTACATCTGCTGTGATATACGACAAGGAACAAGCCGCTTATGTTGGTGTTTTTAACAAAAACACTTTAAAAATATGGAAAGAAGATTCAGATAACTTGGATAAAATAAAAAAGTATAAGGTAAACCTATAACTTATAACATTTATATGATATTATTGTTTTGTATACATTGAATATGAGAGATGATGAGACACATCAAATACACAAAAATAACTTTAATATTCCTTTGGTTTTCAGTTTCCAATAAATATTTTAAAACTTCTGCCTAGAGGAGATCAGCCATCATTGATAATATTTCAAAATGGCAACTGTGCATCCCTTACATATGCACTTGATAATAGAAAGTCATATGATAGCAAATTACTGGTTAAAGAGTCTGAAACAATTTTAGATACAGCAGTGTATACAATACAGAATACAGATTACATTTGTTATGTCATTAAAAATAGCAAAGACAGCTATGAAATGATAACCTGTCCTGTAAGGGAAGAACTTGGTGATATGGAAAAGTCTAAACTGAGTAGAACAAAAGTAGTAAGGCCTGATGATGTGTATGTTGTTGGAGAGCTTATAAACACTATTGATAATCTTTCTGTTTATTTTCTATGTAAGTAAATATATTTAAAAAAAAACAATAGAAAGTATTTAAAAGCAAGTTGTTCTATTTTAATAATTTTCTTTTATAATTTCAGGGAATGATGGAAAAATCACCATGTATGATTTAGTAAAGAAAATATGGAGGACTATTGGCACAGTCCCTTGGATTTCTACTTTGTCAAGTGTGTCAATTGCTTGGATGGGAGAAGACCATCTAATTCTATTTGGTGGCAACATTGACCAAGACGGAGCTATTATTGTAGCATATAATATCATCCTTGGTGTAGGGACATGCAGATATCCTATGAAAATGTACTCTGAACATGCTAAGTTATACTGTTTCAATGGCCGTATCATCCTTGAAGCATCAAATCACATAGGAATGTTACCTTATGTTTTAGAAACTAATAGAAATTTATCTAGCCTTTTAGGTTCACATGAAATAGTAGAAGATAATAGCACAGAAATTGCAGATTGGGATACTCCGGTAGAACCTGCATTTGAAGTGGCATCAGAAGTCAAAGATTTATTGAAAATTGGTATGACTGAAAGGGCCATGTGTGCCCAAGTAATACCACCATTACTAGAAAAAAGTGACTATCAACATGTTTTTAAAGTCATAAGAGAATTCCAAGACATACCTGAGTCAGTGTTAGTTTTGTTACTTAATTATACAATTAAGTTAGTGTACCCGGACAGTATAGACATTACAAATCAAGATGAATTTATCAAATTTTGTCATGGTGAATACAAATCAAAAAAAGAAAATACAATTCATAAACAAAAATTTGAATTATTGAACTATCTGTTTCAAATTACTTTTAGTGATGCTTTATTGATACCCCATATGAGAAATGGCTTGAAATTAGATGATGCATTGTTTTTGATGACATATATATCATATTTACTCATAGATTCAGATAAAAGTATCGATACAGCCTACGAAAGTAAGTTGTTTGACTGGTGCACTGTACTCATGGATGCCTTTTACCAGCAGTATTTGTTAACAAAGGATGAAAAAGTGTCTTACGTCTTAGATAATATGCAAAAAGTTGTTGTAAATCTTATTGATCAATTGATGGCCGTTGATGATACTTTACCATTGTTACACAAAATATTGTCAGGTAAAAAATTAGATGCAAATGAAAATTCTTTGTCTTATGCCATTGAATTAATTGAAATATAATTTTTTTTGTATTATTATTTTTTCTTCAATCACTTTGCTTGTCCTTCTTTCACGTCGAAGCAGAATAATGGATTGGCGTGATTTTTTGTGTGGAGATAGTTGCGAGGGCTGGAGAGTGAAATAGGCTACTCTTTACTGCGGAAAATTATCTTATTCCCACTGGAAACACTTTATAATACAACCTATACCTACTACATTATTATACTACAACAACCTACCTATGTATATATATAAAACATAGTCTATCTATTCCATTAAAACAGACCTATGTACAACTCGAACGAAGCTAGGGGTGAGCCGCTAGTATAAAATAAAGACATCATGTGTGGAACAAATGTACTTCCTCTATATGTAATGTACCAGAGGTAAAGATATGAGATAATATTTAACAATACTTTAATTACAACATATTGCATTTTGCATACCTTGCAATGTTACTCTTATTTTTTGTTTACAAGTTAATATTTATAAAATTTTGTCTAGACATAAATTACATTTATTTTAAACATATTCACATTTGGAAGATATTCTTTCCATATATCTTTTAATTTTGCTAGCAAACTTACATATATTAGGTTGGTACTTTTGGAAACATTTTTATATCATGAAGTAGAAAAAATAGAAAAAAAGTAGTGTATGTCATATAAAACCACCTTAAATATGTACATACATATCCAAAATTTGATACATATCTTAATCACTAACAAGCATAAATTTTAGTCAGTGCTAAATGAATTTTCTGCAATTACCCCATATCTGTATAAGTTGTCTAATCTATATAATCCAAAAACAAACTTCAAAATTACTCAATTGGGTTATTAGTAGCAGCCCTAGCAAATTGAACCACCATGGGTTTCTCTTTCAATAAATAGCCATTTGTCTCATTCAAAGCAGTCTGCGCCACAGAAACAGATGGGAATGTAACAAAAGCCTGACCCTTCATCCTGCCTTCCTGCATGAGCCTAATATCAAATCCGATTTGCTCATCCTCAGTGATATGCTCCACATAACGTTTATAAACTCTATTTAAGTCTTGTTCTGTTACAGTTTTAGCTAAGTTCTTAATATATAATCTCATAGATGGTTGACCGGGATGGTAATTTTTAAATACTGGTAGAATTTTCATATCACTGTAGGAAATTCTATTCTTTAAAAGTTCCTGTTTACTAATACTTGGTTGTTCCGGTTGTTCTGCTATTTGCTTTTCTTCTATAGGTTGTTCTTCTTTCTGGAATTTTCCAATTTCTCCAACAACTTCTGGCTCTTCAGATGGCTTCCTGAGAGCATCCTGTGATACTACTAAAGAAATTTTCTTCGCTTCTACAGGTGTGACCACATCAAATACTTCTACCTGATCAATATTTTCTTTTGTCTTTTTAGATTTAGGTAAAATTGCTGTTGACAAGACTGCAGCAGGTCGTTTCCGTGTTTTAGGAAGTGTATGTTTTCTTTTAAGCACTGATGGCAATGGATTCTTTGGTTGCTCCTCATCACTAGACATTTCAGATTCAGGGTCTTCTGGAGGTAATATGGCCATTTCTTCAATAAAAAAATCTCTAAAGGTTTCTTTAAAAAAATTTAATGCTGTCTCATCCTCTTTAAATGGCATATTAAGTGACATCTTATTCATTAGATGTAAAGCTTGAACATAAAATGGTTTATGATTAAATAAAGAGCAAATCATATTTACAGCTATTAATGGACTTATTTTGGGATATGTGTAATTTAAATGAGATGGAGGTGGTTGATAAAAGTCTACAGAAGGGTTAAAAGCGTTGAGTGTTTTCAAAAACTCTTTAATGTGATTTGTTGTGGCAGAGTTAATAGTATCATTTTTTCTTAAGTGAGAAATTGGTTCTTTTTCAAATGAATATTCAACTACTAGTCGTCTTTTTGCTATTTCTAGTTGATGTAATCGAAGCAATGCAGATTTCGCTTTTTCGATATTTGAAAACCCAGCGAATATATAGTTCTGTTTCCTTAGTGGCTGCCAAACTTTAACAGCACCAAAATGTTTTAACATTTTTTCTTTTTCATCAATAGGCAATGTTGCTGGAAGGTGTTTAATTATAAGCACTTTAGACATGATTGCTTCTGGAGTACCTATATCACTTTATTTGTTCTAAACTATATTATTATTTCTTTACTTAGTAAGAAAGTCTTTTAATTTTAATACAGTCGAAATAGAACAAGCCATTATTTATTTGAAATATTTTCATCATTATGTAAAATTATTTACATCATATTCTTTCAATAAAACATTCTTCATAAGCAAAATATTAAAGTTCAAAAAATGTCTTTTAGAGAACACACATTTAATTATTTATTCGTAAACTATATTAGTTAAAATATTTCATAAATAAAAATAATATGTAGGTACATTCCCTGATAGAAAAATTAAATTATCTTTAATTTTTGATGTTTTTGACTTTGAAGTTTGATGATTAATGAAACAGATTCAAAACATGTTTAATACGCGATCTTCGATCAACAATAATATTGTTGATCGAAGTACGCTATAGATAAAATTGTAATTTGTACTTACTTTAAATAATTATCCATAGGTAGAAGTTGTAATAGAGAAATCAGCGTAAGTCTTTCAATTTTATATTTTGTAAGTTAAAAAAATAAATATATTATAAAAATAAAAAAACCCGACTGCATAAGAGCTACCTAACTAAAAAGATGAAAACAAGTTCAACAAGGAATCATTACTTTCTTTTTCACATTATGGCGTCCAAAATCGGCCCTATTTGAGTTTTCCAAATATTCATGCTTTCTATAGAACTCGCGCCGTCATGACGAATCAAACGACGTGTCATTTATCAAAATCGGCCCACGCGTTTGGTCTAAATAGTGCCACAGGCACAAAGGTACAAACCCACATACATGCATAGGCTGATAAACACATTACCCTCTCTTGCGCACAGTCGGGTAAAAACAAATTTGACCTGTAAGTCTATACTAATATTATAAATGTAAAAGTGTGTTTGTATGTTTGTTTGTCCTTCTTTCATGCCGAAACGGAGCTCGACGAATTAGCATTAATGTTTGGGTGGAGATAGTTAAAGGGCTGGAGAGTGACATAGGCTACTTTTACCTTTTTTACTTTTTACCGCCGGAAATTATCTAATTCCCACGGGAAAACACATTATAATACAATGCAAAAAAATATTTATGATCGGAATTACTTGATATTTGGTAATAATGCTCTTTAATAAAATTAATTAAATACGTGTTTTAGCATTTTTCGAAATTCATCCTACAAGAGGGTAAAATAGAGGATTAAAGTTTGTATGAAACCTACCTGTTTATAGATTTTTTTGAAGTTTTAGCGCGAGCGAAGCCGCGGGTTCTGCTAGTAGCGAATAAATATTAAAGTTGAAGGTATTCCTACTCTTATTATGTACGTTTAATTGGCATTTGGCACTCAAATAATTTTTTTAGATTTTAGAGCAGGGACTAGGGAACACTGAGCACTCAGCACTGTCATTCACTGATATGATGTCAATTCAATTGTCAACGCCAACGGTGAACTGTCAGCCCATCGATACTAGTCCAATTGCTCACGATAAACAATTTAAATGTTTTTTACTAGGGATTGCTTTTATTAAATAAGTACTACCAAACAATATGACAGATGAAAGTTCTATAAAAATAGTTAAAGTGGTTGTTTTAGGCGATATTGGTAGAAGTCCGCGAATGCAATATCATGCATTATCTCTTGCCAGCTGTGGTTTAAAAGTGAATATAATAGGATACGTGGAAACAAAACCGCTAAATGAAATTCAAGAAAACCCTCTTATTACAATTACGAAGCTAAACCCCTTGAAACTAGAAAAAGCCCCAAAGATCGCTCAGTATTTTGCCAAAGCTTTATGGCAAACAATCAGTTTACTGCTAACGTTATTTATAACGGGCAAATGTGATTATTTACTATGTCAGAACCCTCCTGCAATACCTACACTCCCTGTATGTAGATTTTATTGCCTAGTCACTCGGACAAAATTTATAATAGACTGGCATAACTATGCTTATTCTATTATGGCTCTATCTCTTAGTGCTAACCATCCACTTTTAAAATTTGCAACTTCTATTGAAAAGTTTTTTGGACAGTCATCAACTCACAACTTTTGTGTGACATATGCAATGAAAAAGGATTTGTTAGAGAAATGGAATATTATGTAAGTAATAATGCTAAAAATAGTTAATATCATTGTCATATTACAATTTCACAATACTAGTATTATTAATTTACCAATTCAAATGTTTTTAGGGCAACAGTTCTGTATGATAGACCACCAAAAATATTTCACCCTATTGATCTTCAAGAAAAACACAATTGGTTCCTTAAAATTAGTCAAGAATATAAAGAATTCAGATGTACTATATCCGAGTCTTGTCATTCTGATATAGAGGATACTGCATTTACACATATTATGGAAAATTCTATAAAATTAAAGGACAATAGACCTGGTCTTTTATTTAGCAGCACTAGTTGGACTCCAGATGAAGATTTCAGTATTTTAATGGAGGCCCTACAAGGTACTAAAGTAATAATATCATATATTTTTCATTTCCATTTGTCTATAGTAACACACAATAACAAAAACACATAATAAAAAAAAATAGTTATAGGAAAATGCACAAGAGGCAGCCTCTTTCTATTTTTTTTAGGCAACCTTTTGGTGTAAGAAATAATAAATCTATATCCATATTATGAAAATTCTGTTTAAATAATACATCCAATTATGATACATCATATAGCTTTGGTAATATTAACCATTAACATAATATTATGAGAAGTAGAGAGTAAGTTCGCATAGAATTTGTATACTATTCATCGAACAATATATTTCTTTTAACTGTTGGATTACTAAATTACAATTGAACTTTAATAAATCTTCAGGTATTCTAAATAGAGCAGAATCATGTCTGCCGACAAAAATAATGATGTAATAAAAAAATCGTTGATGCTATATTTTCTACGATTTCAGTATATGAAACAACATATTATCTTTCAAAAAAGCTTCCAAAGCTCATTTGTGTAATCACTGGGAAAGGTCCTATGAAAGATTATTATAAAGAGCAAATAGCATCTCGGAGATGGAAAAATGTAAAAGTTGTGACTCCTTGGTTAGAAGCCAGAGATTATCCAATAATGGTAGCAAGTGCAGATCTCGGTGTGTGCCTCCATACCAGCTCATCTGGCCTTGACTTACCAATGAAAGTTGTAGATATGTTTGGAGCTGGGCTACCTGTGTGTGCTTATGATTTTAATTGGTAAGAGTGAAAAGACAAGATTTCCTAAATACTACATTTTAACAGAAATGTAATTTACTAAATATACCACTTTTTTTTTTATAGTCTTGAAGAACTTGTACAAAATGGTGAAAATGGATATACATTTAAAAATTCTGATGATCTTTCTAAACAAATTGTGAACTGGTTTGAAAGTTTTCCTAACAATGTGCAGCAAAATAAAGTTGCTGAGAAAATGAGAAATAATCTTTCTAAATTCCAAACATCTAGATGGGAAGAAAACTGGAATCTAAGAGTTAAAAAGTTTTTTGATAACTGATAAGTAATTAAGTATTAAACTAGGACCAATTAATAAATTATTGTAATGAAAAAATATTTTTTTATGAATATTTAATAAATAAAATGCTTAATGTTTTTGGAAATTTTATTTACAAAATAGATTTCCATATATTTAAAACTACACTAAAAGTCTTTCAATTTCTTGCTGTATGGTTTGGATTTGTGGTTTAAGTTGTGAGCCCTCATTAATTGTAATCGAACAAGCAACAATGGGTCTAGAAACCCCACATGCTCGACCTAAAGCTTGCTTAGACCTAACAAACACATAAGGCACATTCTTGTCTTCGCACAAAATTGGAATGTGAAGAACTATCTCCAATGGCTCTGCATCTGCCGCCATAATAATGAACTCTGAAAGCCCTCTGTTTAGAGTTTTTGTGGCTTCATTGGCACCTTTTCGTAGCTGCTTATAATTTGCTGCTTGCTGCACTAGGTTTAATATCTTTGCCGTCAATGGAGCATCAGCTAAAGGGTAAGCTTTAGGGTTAACACTTGCTTCGTTTTCAGCCTGAAATATAACAATTATTGCATAAGTTTTATGAAGATAACTATAATTTGTATGGATTAATTATAGTTCTTAGTTATTTAAAACGTCGAGAATGTCCCGCGCAGTCACACTGTCAACATAACCTAAAAAAAGTCACGTGTGATTTGTTTAAATTTCTATTATCAAACCTTGTTTTAAACAAAGCAAAAGTTTATGGAACATTAAGCTTTTATAAATCTATAAACAAAAAGATCACTCACCATTATTACTAAGTTCACTTAGTAAGTTTGGATAAAAAATATAAACACCTCTCAGCGATTTCTCGCTTCACTGAGGAAATTGATTAAAATTGTTTTATTCAGTTACGTTTTCAAGATGCTTTTAAGCTATCTTGCTAAAGTATTAAACATGTACTTATTGACAAATAGTAATATTAAGTAATAACAACTTAGCAAGCCGTAAAATCAAACACTTGAAGAATAGACTCACGACGCTTCACGCTCACGCTAACCAGTAACCTTGGTCCGGCTCGAAATTAAGCATGGAAATGATTGCTACTTTTAAATCATTATCACGTGATGAAATTACAACAATTTTTCACGTGATTTCACCTGCTACTTTTCACGCATAGATTTTTGATTTCGACGGTCTGGTGTCACACTTTATATTATTTGCTATTAAAATGAAGTATGAAATGTCACCAATGGCGCTACTGATGTGATATGGAGCAGAGATATAGATCTGACGTAGTTGCATACGTACATGGTGCTTTGAATGAACCTATTTTCAAACAATGAACTTTCCCTCATACTTCTACAGGCTTGGGACTGACAATGTAAAATTAAATGAATTTTAAATATATCAGAGTAATCACACGGTAAAATTGTATTAAGCTAAGTTCCATAATTACATTGGCGTATTTAAAAGTTCATTGTTTTTATGTACAATAAGAATTTTTATAAAAGAATTTTATACACTTTTTTTTTGTTTTTCTTAATTTTTTTAACTTGTTTATAATCATTTTTTTTGCTTTTTGATTTTTTTGATGATTGATTTTTTTATGAGATATCTATATACAATAGTCTTCATTGCTTTTTAAAAATACAAGTTCCGCTGTTCGTTTTCTGCTTAATCGTGCCTTTTTTTGGGTTGCAAAATTTCCCGCTTTTGAAAATACTCTCTCACACTCCACTGATGTCACCAAGATGTGACAGTGCTCATGAAATATTTCCGCCAAATTGGGGTACATATAGGAGTGAGATTTCCACCAAACTAATGACGAAGAATCACCCGGAAGCACTGGTTCATTAATAAACATTTCTAGCTCGTTCTCAGCGTTGGTGGTTATGTCTGTACGTATTACACATAATCATTCAGTAAAAATTATAAGTATTTGTTGGATAAAAAACTAAAAATGTGCTCTAAATTTAATTGTTGTTTCTAATTTAAAATTATTTCTAAACAATATTTCTAAGAATCCGAAATCATGCAACTCGAAATAAATAAACTCCCCAATTTACTGATCAACGGTATTAACTGAAAATTGTATTTTGTTGAATAAAAAATCAATAAAAACATCAGTACGAAAATGTATACGGAAAATGCGAGTAACGAAATGCATTCGTGAGTAACGTTTAGGTACTCGGTACTAGATGGCGTACCCGTTACTCAGTAACGAATACATACGGTTTGCTACAGCTCTAGATTTCACCAAGTTGTGATTTGTAGCAGCCACTATGAATTTAAGTAGCAGGTGTGACGCGTGATTACGCATTTCACGTGATTTTTCACTTGCTACTCGTGAAATGTCCCATCCCTACTCGAAATCGGTTGAGGGTTTATATATGTAGCAATATACTCTATGGTTGCGGGTTTGACATTTGAACTCTGAAGTTGACGGTTACCTATCAGTGTTGCCAGAGTGATTTGGGTGAAAGTTAGCATGCCTGAAAAGTTACAATTTTTAATAAATAATTTAATAATAATGTATAATAAATATAACTAATTAATATATAATAATAAATAAAATATTAACAAACACTACTAACGATAATGTAAAGAAAATTTTGATCAATGCAAAGAGTATAATAATATAGGTCCAGGATCAATGCCTCCTTGAAGCTTCACACGTACTTATATTTATTTTTGAACATATATAAGTTAACTTTTTTATATTTTATCAGATTACGTCGAAAGCTTTACGAATTAGTTCAACATTATACAATATTACTATTTACTAACGATAGCTGTACCAAATAAAATTTTAAGTATTGCCACCTTGAAGAAAAAACTCTTTTCATATTTTCTGATATTGAGTTGGTATCCTTGCGCGCATCACGCCAAAGCTCTTTTCAAAATGCTCAATTGAGCGGAGCGTCACTGTAGTTGGACCATTTGAAGTTAGCATTATGCCGTATAATGCGCTTTAGTGCTCTAATTGGAAAAAAGGGTAAATAAAAAAATAAAATGTATAATAACATTTCGAGTCGAATTTGTAGTAATATTTTCTGGAAAAACTTAGTGAATTAGTAATTATTATTTATTATTGATACAGAGCCCGAATCTATAATTTTTAGAATTTTTGCCAGTCTGACTGTGACCGCATCACGAGAAAACCACTGGACAGATTTTGATGAAATTTGGTATCATGATAGTTGGTTATCCGGATATATACTTTTTACTACAAGAAAATATCTCATCTCTGAAAAATCTATACTAAAAGTTAAAACGTAACTAAGGACGAACCCGAGCGGAGCGACGAGGGTGAGTCGCTAGTATTAAATATAAACAAAATATCTATAAGTTTATTTCTAATTATTTTAAATAATTGCAATTTTCTACATCATCTTCTTTCCCCTCTTCCCAGTTTAGCTGGGGTCGGGTCTCCTTGTATAATTGCGCTAGAGAATTCTACTCTGGCTTGTTTGTATACTCAGGTTGTCTCTCTGAATCTCTTTCTGCATATTTGACCACCATGTGGCACATTGTCGTCCTCTTCCTCGCGGGCGCAGGGATATTTAGAACTTTGTGTATCGGATGGTCGTCATTTCGTCGGAGGATATGGCCATACCAGCGCATTCGACTTTCTTTTAGCTTTTCAGTTATAGGTGCTACCTTAAATTATCCTCTGATATATTTCGAACTTTATCTAGACGGGTTACACCTCCCGCCCATCTGAGCATTCTCATTTTGTTTGTATGCAGTTGTTTGTGTGCCTTTTTTATGGTCCAGTACTCTGCTCCGTACATCATGGCTGGTTGTACTACTACTACAAAATTTCTATACCATGTAGAAAAATAATTTATTCAAAAAGTCATTCAATTATTTTATATAGGTAGTAAAAAGAAATATATTATTTTAAATGTAACTTATGACAGATAATAAAAAGATAATTATTTTTAATCAATGTGAATAAACTTATATTCAAAACATTCAGTTGTATAGTTTAAATTAATCAGTACCGTAAAAAATATTTATTTTTTATTATTTCTTCAGGTTATAATGGGAAAAATATTGCCATTTTTTCCCACCAGATGTCACAATTACTATAATTCTTGTCTATCCTAATTGTTAATTAAATACCTATTACAGACATATTATTCAATATAACTTAATTATTATAATCAAATCCTAATGTAGAGAAAATGTTGCTAAAAATTCCATCACAATGATTACAAAAAATAATATAAACTTAATTCAATATTTTTATTTTATTTATGGTGTCTTATATAAAGTTGGTTCTAATAATATATTGTAACATTTGTCCAAATTTATTCACTTCACTTGCACATTACACTCTAGCTCAGTCTCTGAAGCCAATTAATTTGGCTTCACATACTTATACTAGTTAGGTTTTTTAAATGTATTGTTTTGACCCGTCTGATTTGAAAGAAATGCTAGATGACCCTTAGGACATTTGTTGGCATAGTGCCCTTTTGTACCACATTTAAAACAGGTAACCTCTTCTAAGGGTTTGTGCATCAGTCTTTGGAGTCTTTGCGCTTCATCATTATCAGCTGCTTTTACATAACCTAAAGCTCGATATCTAGCTTCTTCTTGTTTCTGAGCAACTTCTCTTTGCTGAAAAAGAAAATTAATTTTCTATTATTTTCTATTGATGACACGTTTGGCTCAGTTATAAGTGACCGTACTTGCTGTGCCAACGGTCGCGGGTTTGAGTCCCGCTGGGGGCATTCATTTATGTAATGAGCACGAATGGTCGTACTTCAGACATGGGTGTTTATATTTATAATATCTATGTATTTAAAGTTATAAATGTGCAGTGTATCAACTATCTGGTATCCATAACACAAGCCTCTTAGCTTACCATGGAGTTAGATGGTGCTATGTGTCATTATGCTAACATATTATTAATTACGAATGAATGAAATACTTTATGTAATGATTATGCATATTAGAACAAGTTATAAATAACTTATACTTAAAAACTTACATCAGGTGGAATCTTATTACATGTAGAGGCTTTATGGCCAACTTCGGAACAATAATGGCATACTGGCAATCTCTTAGCATCTTTTGTTTGCTCTGGTGGTGCTGGCAGCTCAAACCTTGGATGCATATATTTACAGCTAGATCCATCAGGGCAAAACCCAGCTAAATAGTTCATGCACAACACTCTTCTTACATGTCGATGTCTACAGTGTGGGCCATGTCTACAGAAGCCACGATCATACCTTAAAACATAAAATGAAATGTTTCAAAAGTTGTATAATAAATTAAAGAGATAATCAAAATAAAAAATTATTAAAAAAAATGTTTATTGGTAAGTTCAGTTAATTAAAATTAATACATTTGATTTTTAGAACCAAGAGAAACAATAGTATCTTAGTTATTTTCTGAATAAATAATGTTTTTAGATTTACTTACCATGGACAATCCTTTATTTTGCTTTCTGGATCAATATGAAGGAATGGACATTCTTTATTGTGACATGCATTAAATCTAGCATAGAAGTAACATTCAGGCATTTTTGACATATCATATTCATGAAGGAATTCACATTGATCTCCTTTTTTACATAGACCACGTAACCAATGTTTGCAAACTACTGTTCGGTCACCTCTAACATGTCTATAGGGGCATTGTGGGCCATTTGTGCACCCACCTGGTTGGCTAAAGAACTCGCAAACTGCAGCAGTGGATTCTGCAAAGATTGATTAATAGAATTTATGCAAGAAAATCAGCATTTAAAATTAAATATATGGCAAATGAAAAGTTACATTATCACTATGATTGTACCATGCTCTTGACTTTGTTGGTAGTTTTTATGAGAACTTATTTAAAATATCATAATATATAAATAATACGACTTACTATCCATCCCGGGAAAAGGTAGTGGTAAAGCTCCATACTGTTGTTCCAATGCATAATCTATATCGAATTTTATATGGTCTACATTAGCAACTATGACTTCCATTTTAACTGACGTAATTAACTCCTATTTTTGTTTAATGCGACGGTATTAATGAAATGAAACAATATAATTTTATATATGTAGCAATATACTCTATGAATATAATTATAAATTGACAACAAAGCGCAAACATCAGCTGCCAAAACTCAAAATCCGACTTTTCCTGTAAATTGACAGCATACATAGATAAAATTTGAATAAATTAACAGTCTGAGATACAGATGAACCATTGATTATATGGAGAGATAGTTCCGCTTATAATATTGTACATACATTTTAATAAGATAGGGTAAGTCTGTAAAGTAAATTATATATTAATCTTTAAAAATAAAATATGATCTAACAGAGATGATATATTGATATTATCTCTACTTCAATCATAGGTCTGTGATTAATTAAATCATAGACAATAATGTGATTATTAAAAAGTTTATTAATCATCTACTAAATACGTTTGTTATGTTTATGACTTATGTCAAATGTCAACGTGATTTGCTTGAGAATTATAAATTGAAACAACATTATTTTATTAAATAAAAGTGCTGAGATTTGTTTAAAATGTCTCTTTCTGAGCTCAAACATACTCTACGGAAGCATGAATTTCCTGCTTGTGCGAAAGAAGCTCTTATTAAAATAGGCAAGTCCTATTGTATATACATAAACCTTAACTTTATTTATAGATTTAATTTAGAGAATTTCACTGTTTTCATTACTATTTCAGAACAACTACTCGTAGGAAGAGCGGCTCCCACTAGCAAACAACTTGATATAGCAATGGAACTTATATCTGAATTTGTATTTTGCGAGACCGACCGCCGTGGAAACCGGCGAGGGTTAAATCCTCTCCAGGAGTTGCAGCTCATAGATATTATTTGTGATTACATATCCGCTTGTACGAATGACACAACCAAGAATACAATATTTCTGTCACTTTTTGGAGGCATGGAGAGTCAGAGAAAATTAAAAGTCTTAAGCATTCTTGCTAGTATGGCTGTTTCAGCTTCAAGTACTCCTGTAAGTATTATTTCCTATAAGTAGCTTACTTTGATTTTAATATTATAATATTTTTATTGATACAATCTTTTCAGGTCTTATTAGCTGTAGGTGTATGGCTACAGCAGATGGGTTGTTCTTCTCAACAGTCCTTACAATTAGTTGAAAATATTATACGGGATCATTTTTTCTTGAACACATCTAATCAAAGTGCTTTAAAAACCTTAGCGACTACTGCTCCACAATTTGTGTCCAATTTTATTACAGCTGCTACTGAATTATACATGCATGAAGCACAAAAGACAAAAAAAATGCCTCCAAAAAATTTGCTTGAGGTCATTACTTCTTGGGTAAGGCCTTATTTAATTTTTATAACATTAATTCACTTAATTTCAAAGCAGGGAGTAAATAATATATTCTTATTTATTATACAAAGTAAGATAACAATGCTAAATATTTAAAAATATTTATAACTAAACAATGGTTATAACAGTACAACATTTACAAAGTAAACTTTTCAGGTGTATTCTAACCCGACATTATGTATGTCAGCACAGTTAAATCCTGCAGCACTCCCTAGTGGTTCCATACCTATGGCAGCTGTGACCCCATTAGCTGGACTAATACATTGGTGTGCTTTAGCACCACTTTATATAGATGAAGGTACTTAAAAGTAATACTCTCTTAGATTTATGCAAATATTTGATGTTTTAAATAAAACGATCTTTTTGGATTATTTTGCAGATTTATTTAGATTTTTGGTTTCCGATGTTGCAAATACAGCAATCATGTGCATGGGAGAGATTGATCATAATACTGTAAAGCATTTGAACCAAAAATAAAAATAAATCTGCAAAAAAGATAGTTTTATTTACTTAAAAATAATTGTCTTACTGCTATTTTACTTTTAATTTTTTTAGTTTAAAACTTATGTTACAATATGCAATATCTATTTTCAATGACGTTTTTTATCAGTAGTAACTTTTTAATTATTGATAGATACAGAAATGGATGAAATTCCTATAAAGAGGATCAAAATTGAAGATGAAAAACCTTCCATAGTGAAAACAATACCTAGTAAATCACTAACAGAATCAGAGCTATATATTAAGCTGCACCTTGGTGTGTTGCATAGCTTGAGAGCTGGAAGACGCACTCATGGACCTCCTACTGCTGTAAATGCGCAGCATTTAGCCGCTTTAACACCTTTGGTACAAGCATATGGACATCAGGTATTAAAAAAAGGTGTAAAATTACAGAGTGACACTAAATTACAGGTAAATTGGACTGAAACATAGTAAACTCATTAGAATATATGTATGTAATTTTTGTTAGTCAATATTTATTATGAATGAATTTAGTAGTATATTATAATTTAAAAGTTAAAACTATCTCCTGGTTAGCAAGAATTTCTTGTGCTTCAATCCTTAAAACAACTGGTTAAAAGAACCTAAGAAGAAATTTGTTTTTCATCACTTATTTAATATTTTCTTGGGTTTATTTATACTGTTTTTTCTATATTTTAAAGTAAAATGTTGTAATATGGTTAACATAAAATTTATTTCTAATTGTTATAACACTTTTTCAGGATTGTCTTGACAGGATAGGTCAAGCAATACAAGTAGCTCTTGCAAATGGGTGTGTATATGGGAATATCAGTAATCTTTTAGCTGCATTAGACACTTTACCCGAGAATAGACTACTGAGGATCATAATTAAGAGCCACCAGCAAAGTATATGACGCATGCTTTGAGGCTCAAACACTGGTGATATGAATGAAATAGTTTGAAAAAAAAAAAAACTGTGAACAAAGTGACATTGACTAAGTCCTGGTTATTTTAATGATATTATTGCCCAATATTGATAATCTATACATATAATAAACTTGTAGACTTCGAATGTCTGTACATAGAAAAAAATTCTAATAACCGAGTCAGGGGATGTCAGAAGAGAAATAGAACAAATCCAGTTTTTTTTCATATTTTTTTTGTTTTTCTGTTTGTACGGGCTAATTTCAGAAATTATTGGACTGATTTACATGAAATTTTACATGGTGGTATCTTACATGCCTGGTCAACATTTTAGATACTTTTCTTTAATGAGTTCCCATGGGATCGTTAACAAACTGTAGTAACTTATACAGCTTAGTACTCAAAAACTACTTACTGCTCGGATTTTAATGAAACTTTAAAATAATATACTTCATTCATCAGAATAACAAATAGGCTGCTTTTTATCCTGGAAAAATGTATGGTTCCCATGGGTTAGATTTGTTTGTCTAGAGGCAAACCCAAGTGAAGCGAGGGTGAGCCAATAGTTATTATATATAATTTTATTGCCTAATAACATTGATAGAATATTATTGCCTAAAAAGTTAAAAGTATCCTTTTAAATTGTTTGGTGTCCAAAATATATCCATTATGTAAAAAATTAATAACAGTATAATATTGTAAAAAGTGTAGATATAAATTAATTAGTTACTATGTACTAAGTATTATATTGTTAAATTATTGTAAATAAAAGTTCCACATAAATTCTGTATGTTTTTTTAAACATATTGTTAATTAGTATTAAACTATTTAAACAAAATTATAAATATGTCTCATAGGAAAAATATTTATTTTAAAATGGCTTAAATCTACGACTTTGTTTTATATGTGCAATCTTTTTCTTGTCTTCTTCAAACTTTTGTCTTAGAGATACAATGTGTTTCATTTTGGACTCTCTGATTTGAAATGTGTAGAAGTTCTGTAACTCTTTTCTCTTTTTGTTTCTATCTTCCTTAGCCATTATTTTATTCTCAACTTTTTCGTTCCGAGCAAAACTTTGGACTTTACCTCTTTTAGTAACTGTTACCCATCCTTCATCATCCTCTTGTTCTAATTCCTTTTCTTTCTTTTCTTTAATTTCAGTTTTTTTATCATGGTCTTTCATGAATTTTTCTATTCTTTCTTTCATTACTTTCGATTGTTCTATAGAGTTATTATATTCTTCTATCCATTTTTTCATACCAACTTTTATTTCATGGCCATTTGAATTCATAGGGCATAATTGTGTTAATTTAAGTGCTTTATCCAACTCTGAAACTTTACTGAAAACTAAATAGCACACTTGAAAAGTTATCTTCTTTAGTTCTTTAATAAATTTATCTTCATATACTTCTGAACTAGGTTTCTCAGAAAAAATAACAGAGATTATTGTGCCTGCCTTACTAAAAGCGTTTCTAAGACCTTTTTCATCAGCATAGGGTGGAATATTAACAATAAAAAGAGTTCTTCCAGAAGGTTTTTCATCTGTATGTTCTCTTACTGAATGTTCTTTAAAATATATGGTGTGAGGTGAAACAGAGTTTTCATTTACTTTCAACTCTAATGCTGAAATCAGATAGACATAGTTTATATACTTTTAGGAAAAGAAGGGCAATATATTTATTAGTAAAAACAAAATATAAAAATTTGTGTAATTTATATACCTTTAAAATCATGACTTCTTTTAGTGCTCTTCATTTTTAATTGACTTCATCAAAAAGAACAACCTATAAATCAAATCAATTTTAGAAAAATATTTTAGAGGCTTGAGTACAACAATATGTTAATACTTTGTAATTCGATTCTCTTTATATTTGTAATTTGAAATTAAAAACACACGCTTCAAATGAATCTATTCAACTATCTTAGGTTATTTATTATAATGAATGATTATTGCGTGAATTTTGTCAACACTTAAGAGTCAATGTCACTGGTCACATTTTAATCTGTGGAGTGTGGACTGTGTCGCAATAAAAACAATAAGCATAGATGAATATTAATCCATGGACATACCATGATTAGTTTTTATTTATAATGTTTCATATTACAATACAAAAATGTTGATTTATAATTTTTATAACTTAGATTTCTGAATTGTACCGTTCGGAAATTATTTGAATGACAGATATACACTTGGTATAACATCTGTATTCCGTGACATCTCTGTTGGCGAAAGAGTTTCGACAAAAAGCGTTTGTGTCTGAAGTTTTATCTGAATTTTGTTCTTAATTTTACGGCAATGTGTTATTATATTTGTACCTCAAAAACAAGTTCTAGTGATGCTATCCACCACTCTAAATAGTAAAGTGAAAAGTTCAAAGTTACCGGATAATATTGACGCTTCTGATCGCGACGAAATTGGACATGAAAACACAACGGATGATAAGGTCAGAGGTTATGTTGGACTTGGTGCATACGATGGACCTTCCTCTTTCGGAGGTCCCAGGGAGTCGCGGTTTCGATCGCGCGGTCGTGTCACTGAATTTCGACATTCCAGGGGCGGGAGTAGAGGAGGCACTAGAGGCCGTGGTGGTTTCCCGCCAAGGGTCGATCGTGAAGAAACCTCCTACAGATATCACGAACCGTTAGGAACAACAAAAACTGACAGTTGGTCACAAGGAAATAATAACAAATTTTATGAGAGATCAGACCTGGTAGTAAATCTACCCGAGGACCCGCGTATTTCTAAGCTTTTACGTCGTCTGTGTGCCGAGGTTGACGTCGAAAAGTCTCTTACGATATGCAGCAAACTTCAAGATGCTGTGATGATGCCTGAAAATTCACGCTATATTAGAAGATCATATGATATACTAGTGGAATCATTGTTAGATGTCCTATACGATGCGCCTAGCCTTGAAACAAAAGAGAGTGCTGCAGTGGTATTGGGCAGAATTGGCTATGTAATGGGGCCTGATTTTCGAAAGCATCTAGATTGGGTTATATCTACATATTCAGTGCATAACACTTCAATTAAGCATCTTCTTGTACTCTCATTCTCAGAAACATTTCAATTAGATTTCGAGAATCCAAATCTAACGGAATTTGCAGAAGTTATGTTGGATAAGATACAAACTATTATTGAAGCTACAGACTCTGCCGAAGTTTTTATGGCAGCCATAAATGCCATGATATTGATGTCTAACGCTTATCCTGAACATTTTGCTAACCACTTTGTTGATACAGTAGATATATTAGTCGGCTGGCATGTTGATAATGCTCAACCTAAGAAAATAAAGGATTTTGCACTGCAGTCTTTATTTAAACTGAGCCGTCATTGGCAAGCAGATGTAGGGTTTTCAGTAAATCTTTTGAATCAATTTGTAGAAGATATGATTGCTTACTGTAATGACTTGGATTCCAATAAAAGTGATAAAGATGGAGAAATTAACATGTTTGAAGATTGTATGCAAAAAATTTCATCATTTTTAAATGTTTTCAACACAGTTGTTAAAAGTTTGGGCAACTTGTTGAGTCCTACTGTTTCACAATCAGTAACATGGTCTTTTTTGACGGATTCACTAAATAAAATTCTAAGTGTGATGGTTGAAACCCTGGCGGAAAATGCAGAATCGGAATTAATTTTAGCAGGTAATGAATGTATTACGTTACTTTTAAAGTATTTGCAAACAAAGTCTACTTCCTGTCAACCTGCTTTGTTTTCTCTTATAACTTTGGAAATTAATAATTATTTACAAGTTGATGAAAATGTGTGTCTCAGCATAATAAACCTTATATCAGCTACTATAAAAGAAATAGCTTCAAATCTGCCTTTAGAATTTATCAGCCAGACTATAGGTCCTGGATCACTACTACGTCCCCTGTGCTTTTCTGAAAACATCCAAATATTGAATGGTATCATGTCTATTTACAGTAATTTACTTAATTTGAAAAACATCCCACTTTTACAAGAAGCATATAAATATGTATTGAGTGACATACAAAATTCCTATTCTACATTTGTACCAGATGTGCAAATAATACAAGTTGAGTATACAGAGGAATACACAAAAGATGATGCAGAAAAAAATATTATATTTTATTTGCAATGTTTATCGGATTTGGCCAATGCAAGTAATTCAATAATTGGCATGTGGGCTCTACAACCAAGTATTTTGGAGTTGCTAGCTATTAAAATGTGTCCCCATGATGAAACTTTGATGAAAATGAGACCCGCATTGCAATATGCTATTTTATACCTTCTTTACTCCCATTGTAAAAAGAACAATCATTTTATTGCTTCGAGTGATTTAGTCACAAATTCTCAAGGAAGAGCAAAAGATTTATTTGGATTATCCAACTTATCACTGGGTGAAGTTTCAGGCTCAAGTCCCACTTCAGGCCATCTTACTGTTATCTTAAATACTTTGAGTATTGTGCTTGATGATCAAATGCCAAATGAAACTCTGATACTTATTCTGACATGGATATCTGATATTTTTTGCCAGTTGGATAATTATTTGCCAATAGTGAGTTTATCAAAAGGCTTTCTTCTATTAACAACAAATATGTTGACATTGGCACACAGTTTCGATAGTGACATAGTCTTACTGGTAATAAAGAATTTTTACTTTTTGCTCAGGAATAAAAGTATGGTGTGGAATATGCTTTTACTGAAAACAATTGCAGTTTTGTGTACCTTACACATTGATCATCAAAATAAAACACTAGCAAATACATGTAAAAAGGTTCTGTTTGAACTACCATGGGACATAGTGCAGCAAGAACTAGACAAGCAATTGGTGAAAACATTTACGAGCCGGAAATTAAATAGTTTGGCTATAAACTGTGACACAAAATCAAACTCTTTTAAAGAGTATCTTATGAGAGGATCCTTTTCACCATTACCAAATCATCACTTCAAAACAATAATTAATTGTCTCACGCAAGTAAATCTCGAAAATAAAAACTTTTTATTAGACATATTTATATCTTCTTGGCCTCTACAATGTCAAGGTATGGACGAAAATAATTTATTGTTTTTCCGACAGTGTGCAACAAATTTTGCCTCTATTTGCGTCAGTTGGGTACTCTCAGAATTAGCCCAGACATGCATTTCGTTGAAACTTCGCACTGCATTAGGTAAACCACAGGAAACATTTACAAAGATAGAAGGAATTTTGAAAGGAGTAGCGAGAGAGATATCTTCGGCTGAGACAAAATATGTAGCTGGGGAAAATACAAACGTATTAGAAATAGTAGTAGCTGAGCAAGTAAGGGCCAGATGGCTTGTGGAGTTCATGATGTTCTTAGAAAAGTACACTTACAATGCTGCGGAAGGTACGGCTACTGTACTGCCAGCTGTTCCAAAACCTGTAAAAACATTTTTCTATACTAACTGGACAACCTGTCGCGAATGGCATAACAGAGTTCGCCCTGCTGCACTTGCTGTAAGTATATATAGCGGTCACTATGGAGCAGCCATTTACCACGCTTCGTTGATATTGCAAAACGCTTCTACCTCCAGCACTAATATCGACGTAGAAGCTATTACATTGAATGCAGCGCGAGCTCTTGTAAAGATCAATGAACCTGAAGTTTTGCATGGCCTATACGTCTGGATAAAACAAAATTTTGAATTAAAATTGGCATGGCTTAAAGGCGCTGCTGAACAAGCTAACTTCAGATTTGAATTAGCTTCCGACTTTTACAAGAAGATCTATACAAACCAGGTCAATGATGATAGTGAAACAAATGATAATCAGAATGACTCAAAAGCTAACAAATTCATCCACGAGCAAATTTTTGAATGTTATAAGAACATACAAAGTTGGGATGACATGGAGGAGTGGAAACATATTACTGAAGGAAATACGCGTAACACAAATTGGGAGTCATTTACAGATTTAAAATATTTTGAAGATAGTAACGATATGCCGGAACTCAGTAACTGGAATATTTTAGATGTGGAAACAAATGAAATATCTAAAAGTGCTTGTTCTTATCAGGGGTTACTTGACAAAGTTGAATCTACGTTAATATATTCGGCGATTAATATTTACAATAATAATTATAATGAAAAATACGACAAATTGCTACAGGAATGTGAAGATTTGCTAAATTCAAGCGCAGAAGAGTTTTCTCGCACAAATGCTATTCATTTCCTTAAAGATGTTGCTGTGATGCAATTGGCTAATAATGGCTTAATTAATATAATGAAAAATGGAAAAGCAATAACAAATCCCTTCAAGCCCTCTGCCGTAAAGGAACATGTTTATGGAACGGAAATGAAAAACCTTACTCGTATTTTATGGTGGAATCAATTTTTCACGAAGCTTAACATGACTGATGAAAATGTATTTTATAATGAATGTTTAAGACTAGACGTTATAAAAAGTGCAAGGAAGAATGTAAACTTAGCTATGGCAAAAAGAGAACTCCTAAAGCATTTTAAAAACAATTCAGCTTTCCAGCTATGCCTAAACCTTAACACATTGGAAGAATTAAGCGATGTCTTGCTATTATCTTCTAATACATATGACCTTGATATATGGACGCTAAACAATGCTACTGCATTAACAGAATTATGCAAAGTTACATACGCGAAAGAAGAATCGAAGGCTTGTGCTATAAATTTATGTGCAAGTATTTCGCTTGGATTTTCTCAAAGATTAGCGATGGGAGAGCAAAATTATGAACTTAGAGAAAAAGGAACGAGATTATTGTTGACACTTTCAAAATGGGTTCAAAATGAAAATGAAAATATCTTAGAAAATGATTCACCATTGGCAAAGTTAGTATCGGCCCTACCAGAAATTGGATTAGTAGATAATAATATATCAGAAAACGTAATTCCTTTGACAGATTCAGCAGTCGGTAAATTATTACAATTTGGAGTAAATCAATGTCCTGGTCTAGCCAAAGCTTGGGCAAACTTCGCGGCTTGGTGTTTTAGATGGGGTCGTAAAATGGTCGAATTTAGTTCCAAAACTCGAGAACAACTTACTGATAATGACAAACTTCAAATAGAAAGTGTAATGATAGGCTGTTCACCTCAAGATTTTGAGGCGGTCTGTGAGATATTATCTAAGACGAAAGCGACGTGTGACGAAGAAGACATTGACTGGAATGAAATCAATACATCGGAAATGATAGAAAATCAATTACGCACAGTTCCCTCTTTAAACAACGCATTTCCTGAACATCTCGCTCTACTTGTTGACATCTGGCGTCAAGCTCAGAAAAGAGTATTTTCATATTTTGAATTGTCAGCTGATGCATATTTCAAATTTTTGCAATTAATATGTGCTTCAGACTATATTAATCACAGCGGGGAAAATGCTGTTGTTAATGCAACTCTCAGACTTTTGCGTTTAATAGTGAAACATGCAATGGAATTACAAACAGTTCTCGAATCAGGCTTGGCAAATACGCCTACCCAGCCGTGGAAAGTTATCATCCCTCAATTGTTTTCAAGGCTTAACCATCCAGAAACGTATGTAAGAAAATGTGTTTCTGATTTGTTATGCAGATTAGCTGAAGATACGCCACATCTTATTACGTTCCCAGCTGTGGTCGGCGCTGTAGAAAATGAACAAAATAGTTTAACTGAGCTACACGTCCCCAGATCATTTTTATCTAACGACGATGCCGATAGTGACGACGACTTAGATTTAGAAGACTCAGCTAGTGACAAAGTGGTCAATAACGAATTGAATTCATGTTTCTTAGACATGGTAGAGACACTTGCTAAACAAGCTCCAGAAACTATATTGCAGGTTAAATTATTAGTGAAAGAATTGCAGAGAATAAACTTGTTGTGGGATGAATTATGTCTGGGGACATTAGTGCAGCATCATACCGAGTTTAGCAAACGTCTCGTTCAATTAGAGACTGAAATTACAAAGGTGAAGAATAATTCAAATTTGACTCCAGAGGAAAAAGAAAAGCTTATTAAGGAAAAACACCGCATCATATTCGAACCCATCGTATTTGTTCTTGAACAGCTTAATAGAGTAACATCAGCGGAGCCAGAAACTCCACATGAAATTGCGTTCCAAAATAAATTCCAAGCAATTATTGTTGACGTTATTGATAAATTAAAAAATCCATCGAATCCAGAAAAACCGCAAGAATCGTGGGCGCCTCTTAAGCAGTTACAAATTAAATTGCAACAAAAAGTAAATAAGAGAACGTTTTACATATTAAAAATGTCTGATATTAGTCCTGTATTAGCAGAGATGAAAGATACAGTGATTACGATGCCTGGTTTACACACAAATAAGAGGACGGTAAGAATTACTATTAAATCTATTGAAAATAATGTCGCTATACTACCTACTAAGACTAGGCCAAAAAAATTAATATTTTATGGTTCTGATGGTAAACCTTACACGTACCTTTTCAAAGGTTTGGAAGACTTACATTTAGACGAAAGAATAATGCAATTGCTATCAATAACGAACACAATGTTGGCTCGTGATTCAGAAAATAACGATAATCAAACATACAGAGCCCGACATTACTCAGTTATTCCACTTGGACCTAGATCAGGTCTCATTAGTTGGGTTGACAACGTAACACCTCTGTTTGCCTTATACAAACGCTGGCAAAACCGTGAAGCGGCCATTCAATCGGCAAAGACGAATAAGACCGTCAACGTGCTTCGCCCTTCGGAAATATTCTATAGTAAACTGAATCCACTATTAAAAGAAGCAGGAATATCAACTGAAAACAGAAAGGAGTGGCCTGTGTCGATCTTGAAGCAAGTGTTGCAACAATTATCAGCGGAGACTCCCAGTGATTTGCTTTGGCGAGAGTTGTGGTGCAGTAGCGTAAACCCCGAACAGTGGTGGCAAATGACACGTAGGTACAGTTACTCAGTAGCCGTAATGAGCGCAATTGGTTACATTATCGGTTTAGGAGATAGACATTTAGACAATGTGTTAGTGGACTTAACATCTGGTGAGGTGGTGCATATTGACTATAATGTGTGTTTCGAAAAGGGAAAGACCCTGCGCGTGCCGGAGAAGGTGCCTTTTAGGATGACTCCCAATTTGGTAACAGCTCTCGGCGTCACTGGTGTTGAGGTAAGTGTTCTGTTATGACAATACGAGTATAAGATTACTTTATTCAAAGTTTTTAACTATTATTACCTACGCAACCTTCAATTTTTTTTTATTCACATTTTAGTTTTACACGACAAGAGCATATAATGTTTTTATTGTTGTTTTATAATTCCTATCAAGGTTTTTTTTATTTTTATAATTTATAAATATATAATTTTACAGTTATTTACCCGGCATTAGGATGTTCTATTTTATGATTTTATGAACATTCATAATTTAACGGAATAACATTCACTTTCACTTTCCTCTAGTATCGAAATATTATATCGATAAAACGTCAGTACCCAACTTAGCTTTTGGTCTTAACCAACCTGGAAAAAACATATGTATAAATAAGGGCAATGGTTCAATTTCAATACTTGTGGAGGGAATCGAACCTACGACAGATGTAGTAAAGAAATGTGTCTCTACTCTCTATCAAATACAGGCCATGATGGTTTTTAAAAAATAAAAAATAAATAATAGTTGCAGTTATTTTTATGCCATTAGGATGTGGAGTAATAAATATGTTTTATTTTTTTTCTTTTATTCTGATAGCAGAATTAGACAAAGTAAGTTATGAAGTCGCAAGATGGTATTGATACCACAATGACCGACGCAACTCTAGATTGTTTAATAGCTGTTATAAGGTGGTTCCTATCGAATTTTACATATAATATCCAACAAGAGTTTATTTATAATAAAAATGTAAAAGCAATATCTTTTATGGTTACCTTAATTTTTATTTACGAATTTTCTAAGGGATAAGACAACTTTTTAGTTGTATCTTAGTTTTAAATTATAGCTTCACATATATCTTCACATATATATGTACATTCACATAAGAACACACATTCACATTAACACATTGAAAATGTTTTGTTTGATAGCGAGTCATTGATCCTTCTAATATTATAAATGTGAAAGTTTGTGAGGATGGATGGATGTATGGATGTTTGTTACTCTTTTACGCCAGAACGGCTGAACAGATCCGGATGAAATTTGGTACAGAGATATATTGTTTTTGTCTAGATACATACCCGAAGCGTAGCGATGGTGAGTCGCAACTCGCAAGTGTGCAAATAAGTACAGTAGAGTTTATAGTCATGCTTATTTGCTAAAGTTGTAGAAATTTATTCTTATTTACTAAAATATTGAAGGTGATCTCTTTTATGATTAGTAAATCTAAACTAAACAGAACTCTTATGTATAATTATTAATTATTATTTAATATATTTTATATTTTCAATATTTACACAAATTTAAATATATATTGATGTTTTTAATGTTAACAAACCAATTATTCATTTTAATAATACATACATAGCTTTTTCTTTTAATTGTGTTGTTATAGCGACCTCTATAGCCACTGTCTAAAGTATTAGGTAGTGTATTTTGTTGTGCCCTCTTCGAACGTAGTTCAATTCTGCCGCTAGCATGTAGATGGCGTTAACTCTACTTATTGTAATTAATATGTTTAAAAATTCCATGAAGTATACATATCTTTCCTAAATATCTATTATTATTATAAAATAACCATTACATTTATTATAATAAAATAATAAAAAAAAAATTAAAACATTCACAGACTACAAAGACTAGATACTTTACAAATTTATTCAAAGTGTTCTTGACTTTGAAAATAATATAATTCTATAAATATATTTTAATTATATATTTATAATAAATCCGCGAAATAATCCGAAAAGATAGTTTTATTTAAAAATCTCAAACATTCGCGTAAATCCAAGAAAGTATTATATATATTTAGTTATAATATATTACTAAATTTAAATGACACACAATTAAATAAAAGCCAACAATACATTTTGTTAAATATATATATTTTATTTTACATCAAACATTTTAGTATTATCGTTATTTAAACATCTCAATGTAGATGACAGAGAATATCTTTATATTTTTTTTTCCATATGGCAGGGAACTTATTAGAATTTTTCAATAAAAATTCAACAATAAAGCTTTCATAAACTTGAGCGTAGACTTGAACAGGTAGGTACCTAATGCAAGTGGAGTACCTACACTCACTAACAATTTTAAATCCTAGAAGCGTTTCACGTTTCCCACAGAACGTTTATTGTTCATATTAACACTACACTACGTCAGGCGGCCGCGTCGCCCTGTGCACCGGCGTCGGGCCATCTGGAGCGTAAGACGGGTTGGAGTCACCCCTTTCTGAATCGATGTAGCCGGCGTTTTCTATGATTCGGCATCTGGCCGTATCAGCTTCACGTTCCACATACAGTAGCCGTGCCGGTCTGCCGCCCATAGTAGATAGGGCGCTAGGTGTTGTCCTTGTTATAGAGCCCTCGCGCAGAGCCACTGAACCTCGTTTTCTTTCAGGAGCAGGAGACCCGCGATATTCCGAGGTATCAGGTCTCTTACAACGCAGTAATTTGGCAAAGGCAGCTCGAAATCCCGCATTTTTCCACGCATAGATAAGTGGGTTAATACCAGAGTTAGACATGGCGAGTGATGATGTTAGGCGGTACAAGATGGGATTGTGCAGGTTTGCGACAGGTAGTGTTTGAGCGCACGCTACTACGACGAATGGCATCCAGCAAATGGAGAAGGAGCCTAAAACTAGTAGGACCACCTGAAAATTAAAGCACAATTATTATAAACTTTATAATGCAAATTAATTAGGTTGATAAAGTAACAGACTATATTTATAGGTAATTGCTAATTAGTATTGTAACTTGAGTCGAAGAGTTAAAATAGCTTTACTTAGAACAAAAAGTTAGGGAAGAATAGGTTAAATAGTTAATTTACCTGTATGCTCTTCCAATCATTGGCTCCAGTGGGGCAGCACGTATTGGCCCGCATGCGGCGCGCGTGGCAAGTGGCCTCGCGCCATATCCTCCAGTACAATATAAACATTACCATCCAGATGAGTGAAAACATCGGCGCTAGAATGCTCGTCGTATACGTTTTTGGAACGACCTGGAACATGATAAACAACGATTTGAAAATATATGAAGAAACTTAATTGAAATTTACGTTTAAATATACAAACATCATTTTGAACGGTGTGATAATTTACAATGGTTTTTCTGTGTATATCTTAAGGAAAATATGCGACGAAAATTTGATAATAAGAATATTTGGTTCGCTTACCATGTTCATTTCGCAACTAACACCGTCGTGCCAGTCGTTCCAGAACATGGGAATGCAGCTTATGCAAACTGCCACCGACCAGGTAGTGCTCATCAGCAATCGTGTGATCACTTTCGTCAAATAGCGACTGTAGTGTAAGGGGTGCACTATAGCTATGTATCTGAAAAAAAAATGATTACAATCAGTTAGTACAAGTAACATGTTCTTAGACGATTTTAGATTTTAGACATTTTATTACTTGGCTAAACCTAAACTTTTACATCGCGTGTAGAATTTATTGATTTCAGATGTTGATTTTATAGGATTTGCCATAAAGTTATGACATGAGCAAATATCCTTACCTGTCTACAGCGATGGCGATGATGTTGTAAATGGAGGCGAGACACGCGAGTATTATAAGAATAAACCTCATTAAACACGACCACTTGATTTTTCCGAAATCGTCGCTGAGGTAGAAGACCAGATGGTAAGGCAGAGTGAGCCCAACCATTAGGTCGGATACGGCTAGGTTTAGCACGAACTGGTTGGAGACGAGCGAGGACAGGCGGCGGCTCATAGTGACGGCGAGGATGGTCAGCGTGTTGCCGCTGACAATTAGGAGCATGAGCGCTCCATCCACGATGCTCCATGCCCAAAAGTTGTACAGGTCGGTTGTGACCGCCTGCTCCGTCGCGTTCCACCACTCGTCACTCTCATTACCCAGTACAACGTCCATACCATCGCTGGGCGTGGTCGCCAGCGACCCCCACTCCGATTGATTCGACGTCGTGGTCGAACTTTACACGCACATTATCTCGATTTTTAACACCACTCGCGTTTTATATGCACTAAAAAGTATGATCGTTTTACACATTCTACGTTCACACACACTTTTCATTTCTGATGCAACCAACACCTGTAACAAAGAGTATATTAGTTTTGGATTATTAAGTTCGGTTATATGTTTTTATTATTCAAATTGATTCTATGAATTTATTAGTTTGAATCCAAAGAGGGGTGTGGATGACAGATTTGAAAACGATGTTGAAAATTTTTCTCCAATTTCTGTAAACAAAGGACGTGCATAACAAAAAACTGCCCGAACTGAATTTACTAAGTACTTTATTATATTACTCGTTGGGCATTTCTTAACCTTGGTGAGTTAAATTAAATTGATCGCTAACAGGGAATCTCTAGGGGAATCAACGACATTTTGTAAATGCCAACAAAACGTACCTACGTCATTTATTGTGGATGTAAAATGTTACATATTGTTCGGGGCCAGAAAAATACAATTTTCAACATATATTCATTAAATGTAATAATAACAAAGCCCTATTTGTGACGACAAATACTAAAATAATGCATAAATTCATACGAAATTCGATAGTTAATTACAATAACTGGGTCCAAACAGAATTTTGATTAATGAGTATTCGCCCTGGCTTTTAGTCGGAGCCGTAAATCATTCATGATCGAGATGTACAACTGCATACGCCGTTATGAAAGTTTAATTCAATCCATTGCAGAAATTATAATAATTTTCCCGTTGCCAAGGCTAGAGAATCCTATTTATCTAAAAGATGGTGAGTTCGTGGTAAATTATTTATAAGAAGTCTGTTATGTTGTTCATCATAACACTTAGACTGCGAATTATTCAAACGAATCTAATATTTTAAGACACCATGGAATATTTACATAGTAGTATTATTAGTAAACACGTTCAAGTGTAAGACTTAAACCTCTTTGGATCATAGTTAAATCTTGGATCGACCATGTAGGGCTAAATGTAAGGAAAATTGAATGTGTAAATTCTGGTCACGACTCGCTTATTGCTCAAATAGGTTATTAAATGCCCTTTCGTTCAATGCGGCCGAGCGCAGCGCCGATCAATGGCAAATCATTAATATGCAACGACGTCTCCCAATCACTCGTGTTATTTGACATCTGCGGCGCTCAGTAAGCAGTGTTCACAAACAACGCTCGGCTATTAAGATCAGCTTAGATTCGTACAACCAAATGAAGTGAACGGGCAAAGAACAGGAATGTCTTAGTGAATAGATTATGAAAAAAATAACAATTAAAAGTTTAGAGGTTTTAATATTTTTATTGAGATCAAAGTATGCAGTAAGTTTCAACTATGTACAATTTTGGACAATCCTCCTTATAGTATTCATGGACATTTTCAATTCTTTTTGCTTTGGCCAAAAATAAAAAGATATTCTTAGAAATATCTGTTGAGTTTAGGTAAAAACTAGTGGTTGGGAATGCAATTTGTTACCAGTACAAAAAAAAAAACAAAAAAAAATTGTGTCATTCCCTATTGTCTGCCTGAACTCGTCAAATGGCCTAATTTTTACTAAATCCATTATCAATGTTATATTGGAGATATCGATTAAAATAATACGATTATTACGTACGATTAAATATAATTACGATTTAAACGTTTTCGACTCGGCTCTATCTTTTTGTTATTAACAAAAGTATTTAATAAATGTATATAATAAGTTTTTATTAGTGCTTACTGGAAATCAATATTATTTTGTGTATTTTAACGAGCGCGAACAGCTTTTAATATATAAATGTATGTTTTGTTTAATGATTTTATTCTATGCTGTTTTAAAGAAGGCAATAACTATTTTTAATAAGATAATCAAGACGTAAATTATTTTACGTTCTTATTCGATTTAAATGTGGACTTTCAATGTATGCACAGTTTGTGCTTGCATAGCGTGTTTGACCTTAAATAATAAAGTAAAATATTTTATTGACTTAACTATTATACACACGAAATATACATAACGTATAGAATTTTTCTCAAGGAAATTTATTATTATGTAATAAAAATATATATCACCAGTCAAGAATTTGAGAAGAGATGTACTTATTCTATATGTTGACCCGGATGACCAGTTATCATCATACTAAATTTCAACAAAATCTGTCCAGTGGTTTTCTCGTGATGCGTTTCCAGACAGGCGAAAATTTTTAAAACTATAGATTTGGGCCTTTTTATAATAATGACTACTTCAATAAGATTTTCCAAAAAATATTTCAATGTCCAGATTCGACTCGGTTAGAATTTTATTAGGTATATGTAAAGATTACTACATATTGTTGAGTGTATTGTAACTTTATATTAGAAAAATAGGAGTATAAAGAAAACACGTTTTACATGAACTTTCGATGGCGTTACCACTTCCTTGCTGAAACTTATACGACACGTATGTACGTGAGCACAGATGTTGCTTCCCTATCGACATTCAAACTCAATACCCGGTGTGCAAGCGGTATATTGCTATTTTATGTAGTACTTTGTGTAACTTCGCTAGTTTTTCTATCATTGTAAAAGTTACGGATCGATTCGCTCGATGGACGTTTCTTTGTTGTACTCGTAGATGACATCGTCGGAATAGTATGTTGTATTTTTAGAAAATCGCATTGACATATTTATATTATTTTTTATAATAGTATATAAAATTGTAACTAAGCCGAATCTGTACATTACATATTTTTTATATATTATATATTTTTTATATAAGAAAATCTTATTGAAATAGACATTATTATCGATACAGAGGACGAATCTATAGTTTTTAGAATTTTTGTCTGTCTATCTGTTACCGCATCACAGAAAAAGCACTGGAGGGATTTTGATGAAATTTAGTATGGTGATAGCTGGTTATCCGGGTCAACTTAAAGGATACTTTTTACCGCGGGAAAATGTCTTATTTCTGAGAAAAAAAACAAAAACTGCAATAAGAGTATACTAATATGTAAAACCTAAGAATGTCTTTTTGGTCATCTGAACGCGGGCGGAGCCGCGGGTAATGCTAGTACTGAATAAGTTCATTAGATTTTAGTAATGTTTCCGTTAGAAGATGTTAACAAATGGTAGAATAAAAACAAATATAACACCTACCACTCGTCCCACGACTACGCGCTAATCATTGATACACACGTGTTTACGCAAGTCCGGTGACCATAGCCAATTATCATGTCAACTATCTAAACCCACCACGTACTGTTATCGAAATATACAGAATAATCTGGACGTAACGGACACATTTATACTATTATATGATAAAATATACATGTAATTTGGGCATTGAATAGCAATTTCACTTAATATACTAGTACCTGGACGATCGAGCTTCGCTCGGCGTTTTATAAAGTCGTGTTTTTTTAAAGTATATAGATGAACTTAAAAAGTAAAACCTTATCTAAATACAAAATTTGATCGAAATCGTTAGACCGATTTTCAAGAATAAATAAATTTACTATATATAGGAGATTATAAAACGAGAATTGCTCATTTAACATAATAAGATACGGCTGGATATATTTGACATTGCAATGGATATATTTTAAAATTATAGATTTCACGAGATTCAATGGATTTCTTAACAACATGATCAAAGTAGTTTATAAAATGAAAAAGATATTTACTTCATTATGGCTAGGCTTACAATATTCCGTATATACTCACCCTATACGTTTCTCATGCATGACACTATGTGTCTATACACCATGATCTCATCGCGTTACAAACTTCAAAGGCGTCGGCACCCTAACTGATTAAACAATAGTTAAGCCGACTTATCTCAATTGGAAATAGTAATCAACTTCATTTTACCGAATATCATTAGAATTGTCTTCCTTCATTAATTAATCTTTATGAAAAACAACCCTATGCTAGATAGAGGAAGTCGATGGACGTGTACGTAACATGTAAATGTACTGTAAGCACAGATTGTATTAATGGTATTAGTTTTTTTTTTATATTTACGCGAATATTTTAAATGAAACTGTATTTTTCGTATTTTTTTTTGAGATTTTTGACTTTCGTCTCTCCGTGAATACATTTGCTATGAAGCATTTGAAACGTGGACAACAAAAAATCAAAATAAAACCGCGAGAAAATCCGGAAAAGATAGTTATAAAAGTTTTTATTTTTTATAAGAAAGAAATTTTGTAAGTTCGGATGGAAGAGGTCAATTCTGAAAATTATTTTTTATTATAGAATTCCCAGCTTCATTATACTAATAAAGTGACATAGATATTATTACGGACAAAGTATTTAGTCAAACTTCTAGTTGAAAATTACAAAAAAAGTATAAAAAAACAAATTGCTCTTTTTGAAATAAATCAGGATTATTGGATATTGAAACATAAATAAGAGCATGCAGACACGTGTATCGAAGAAATTGTAATTACTAATACGAGTAATTGAGAAGCGGATAAGGTTGTATATATTTTATTTATGTTTTGTTGTCAGTCGCGACGCGATTGGTCGGTATCGAGGCGGCCGTTGGGGGTTGGCATTACAGATTCATGCTGCGGCTCGAAGGGCTTCCACATCAATGTTTCGAAGGTTAGAGGGGAGGTTACTGATTTATTAAGGTTATTTTCAGTGAACGAACCTAGCTAGTTGTTAAATTCAGCAAAACCTTGACTTCCGTCGTGAATTGTTTCTTAATATGGAAAAATAATTTAATTTTTTTGGTTATGTATTAATGTATTCGCGTGTAAAAGTCAGAACGGTTAAATTACTGTTATATCATTACGTAACATGTTTATGAACATGCTCTCCATTATGATTCCTTTTACTTATTTATCTTTATAATTTTTACTTTTAAATCTAGCAATTAGGTATACTATAAGTTGAATCAATCAACCAATAAGTATTAAGTTTAATGTCGGAGTTTTTTTTTTCATTAAAATCAATCTAAAATC